AACTGGATTGTATGATTCATATAGCTGGAAGAAAGGGAGATTAAAGAAACAATCGCTTTTTCAGAAAATTACAATGCCAAGTTTTCAGAAATCCATTTTCGGTTCGGACTTTCGCGTAGGCTCCGCGTAGGCCCTCGCGTAGGAAACCCGTAGGCCCTCAGTTCAAATTGTGGCCCATAGCCCATCCAAAGTTTTTCCAAGGTCAATACCGATCTCGGCAACTAGGGTTTAACATCGTCAGTCTAATAGTCAGTTCAATAGTGCTTAATCCGCAGAAAGCTGATGTTTACATAGAATATAAAAAGGAAACCTGCAGCAATTCCCATCAGCATGGGTCAAAACATGAAGATCTTACGTGACAATACACACCTGTAAAACGAAGCCAGGTCCCAAAAAACAAAACCTATATAGATATACTTTTTTGCTGCCTGTTAATTTACCAGGTGGCTGATACACAGTTGTTATGTATCACCCCATAATCATCCATTTTCAGCATGGACGCCCCCATCACTTTCAATTCCACCTTGTAACAGGCCGGCGGCAGCGGTGGATCGCGAAGGGAGCTGGGCTTGCGGAAAGTGCCTGGTGGACTCAGACAATCTATGAAGGACAGCCATGGTCTGCTGTGGATCCATTTGGCGTTTTGCTACGTCACAGGGGTACCCCAAATCATCCAAGTCATGGATGACCATTCATGGCCATGATTTAGTATTGAAACAACCATGGTGACTTGGGGATCCCTCATTTTAAGAACGTCCCATTTTGGAGGCAAAGGTGCAGAGTGTAGAGCAGTTTAAAAAATTGTGTTGATTTAAACAATACTGGGCTCACTAATAATATATTACCCTATTCAAAATGAAGTCTGACAGGTATCCAGGAGTAGCCATCCAGCTGTTGTGATGACCAATTTGCTGGGTCACCCCCATTACTGCAAATTAAATCGGATAAAATGAGCATCAACCAAAATAAGGTAGTCAATGGTAATCAGTTTCTTGGTGTTCACTAAAACAGATTCACCTTTTTTTTTGGTATTTCTTGCGTCCCAATACGGGCTCGTTGGAGTAGCAATACCTGCGACCGGTCTTTTCACTGGGTTCAAATCTGGCTGCTGTGGGGGATCCCAACAGCGATGAAAGCAGAGCTTCCTACTGGCTTTGGCTCATGTTGATGTTAGAATGGGCACTTAAGGTCTAGATATATATATATACACTGTAATATATACATATATATATTATATTTATATATATATATATTATATTTATATATATATTATATTTATATATATATTATATTTATATATATATATTATATACCCTGTTTCATGCTTATCTCAATCTAATCTCCACCTTATTCAGCTCAGATTTCTTTGTGAAGCGGAAGCATCCTCAATGCTATTTGGTCTCAAAAATCAAAACACACATTTTTTTTATCTTCAGATGCGCAATGATAAAACATGACAACACCATACAATACCTATTCTATCCGGTCTGAATCACAGTTTTCCACAAAGCTGCCACGCAAAATCCCCAAATCCATCATGGTTTACCACACCAAAACTCTCCCAAATTCTTGGCCCGGATTGCTTCACCAGCGATACAGTGCTGCTGTTACTGGACCCTGAAGGACAGGACTTCGAGGAAGTTGCCTTGGCCTTGAAAAGGCGAGATCAGAAAATGTATTTTCTTAATTTGAAAACTCATGATCAGCGAATGGATTTTCGGATATTTTAAGAATTTAAGAGTACTTCATTGTCAGACCCAAAATGATATGGCGAAACTACCGTTGGAAGGGCGTAACTTATCTCGTATTTTATTAGGTTGGATACCAGCAAGTTTGGTCATTTCGAAAAGCTATTTTTGGGGTGGACTTATGTTTTTCTGTTTTGGGATTGTTGCTTGGATTTCTGTTTCCCTGCTTCTTTACTTTTTGGCATTTTCCGCGCTTTTTCACTTCTTTGCTTCTTTGCTTGTTTGCTTCTCCAAGATTTCTGCTTTTTCTGCTTCTCTCTGCTTTTTGCTTTTCTGCTTTTCCCTGCTTCTTTTCTTCTTGGCTTTCTGCTTTTCCCTGCTTCTTTGCTTCTCTGCTTTTCTGCTTCTTTGCTGTTCTGCTTTCCCTGCTTTTTTTGCCTCTCAAGCCAAAACAATCCCTACAGGTATGATAGACTATATAAATAAACTCTAAACCACCCTACATAGATTCCAAACCAACCAAAAAAAAACTAAAACAACCCAAAGTAATCCCTAAACAAACCCTAAAGAAATCTGAACACTTGCCCCAAATAGATCCTAACCAAACCCTAAATAGATCTCAAGCCAAGCCTGAAAAAACCCTGAGCCAAGCCTAAATAAACCTTAAACAAACTTTAAATAGATCCTCAACAAAACCTAAATAGACCTTAAACCAGGCCTAAACAAACCCTAAACCAACCCAAAAACAAACCTAAAACCAACCCCAAAAAAACTAAACCAACTCGAAAACCAATCCCAAGCCAACCCCGAACCAACCCTAAACCAACCCTAAATGAAACCTAGGTGCAATATACCATGCGACATGAACAGTTCGAGCACCAAAATGTTGCAAATATTACGGAAAATCAGAGGTTCATCGATTCATCGAAAACTAAGCTATTCAATTCTGATCAATCAAATTCTGGACAGTCAAAATTTGTAAGAAATCGACAGCAATGGCCACAACATGCCACAACTATGCGGCAAACTCATCCGCACGGGTATCGGACATTCGGCACACAGAACAAAAACCTTCAAATTACCCTGCCAGGCCCCACATATAATCCTATATAATCCTATGTATATATATACTGTAACGACATTTAAATATGTGGAGGGCGGGCCAGACCTCGAGGCCCCGGAGGTAGTATGAAATACCAGTTCGTATGTTTAAATGTAGTTGCAGTATGTTTAAATGAATTGGATTCCGTATGTTTAAATGGCTGGGCGGGCCAAGGAAAACCTTCCCGGAGGTAGTCTAAAATACCTGTTCGTATATTTAAAAATCCATATATTTAAATGTAGTTACCGTATATGTAGTTCATATACCCTATAGATACTATAGATGATATATAGATTATGATCATATATAATCATATAATATCATATATATAGTTCATTGCCACTTCAATCTTTTCAGCACTACTATATATAGCACGGTCGGTATCCCGAGTTGGTCATCAGCAACGGCGAGATGACGGTCATGTCCAGGCGTGAACCAAGCGTAAAGCAGGTCTTAGTGCTGCTGGGTGTCTTGCCAGCAGGTATGAGCAACGGACAATGAAGATGTTTACATATATATATATATATACTATATATATAATTATATATATAATTATATATATATAACTATATAAATAATATATATATATATAATTATATATATATAACGGAATAATGCAGATCATAAATCTCTTTACTGGGAAGTGGTATGTGGCTAACATCCCACTGCCATCATCCCAAGTATGCAAATGATTGCCAATGTAGTTCCGGGACGGTTTGGGATTATATATATATATACTGTTGTCATTTCCTGGTTCATTGGGGATAATGAGCAGGGACCAAAACATGTGTCGATTGGGAATACTGGTTGGGAGGGGGTATTAGCCTAGCCGTTTGATTGGGAATGATAATGACCCAGTATGCAAACCCTGCAAAACCAAAAAGTCGAGGTTTGAACACCGCTCATGTGCTTGACCACTTCAGCGGGTGCTTCAACCCCGAAGGGAAGTGGAGACATGAGATGAATCAATAAGTGTGGAACCAAGATTGTATGATAATTGTGTGGATGATTGTGGATTTACATCCATTTACTACTGTTGTTATTGTATATTATTGGTTATTCTTTGTTCACCAGGGCACCAGGGTACAAAAAAGAACCAGTTCAAGGCATGGAAAAGCAACCAAAGCAAAACGGATTTCATGCCCGTCATGTATACCGCAGTGTATCCGATTGACACACAATTCTGACCAAAATGGTTTGCCCCAAACAATTCGACATCCCATGTCCCAAACAAGTCGACAACCCATGTTTTTCCTCAGTCAGGGGTTATGTACCCTCCTTCCAACATGTTTCTTCAATATATGTATATATTCAGCCTAAATTGGGTTGGAAGACTACTTTGGACATTTCTCAGTGTCTATGTTAGTTGGTAAATTCGTAAACAAACCATCGGATTCCCGATTCCCAGTAAATTCCCCGAATTCAATGTTCACTCCCCAATCCATAGAAAATCGGTTCTTCCGCTGAGGCGACGACAAAGGTTTGGCGCCCGAGGAGTTGAATGAAGTGGAAGGGATGCCGTCAGGAGTGGAGGTCAGCTGTCTGTGCCGGGCTTTACTTCCGCGGATTTTGGGAAAGCTGGGGCTTAGGGTCTGACGGTTTCTACGTGGTATATGCATCTACATGCCATATATATATATACACATCCGTCGTATTCCGTAGTGGTTTCTATATTTCCAGGTCTTGTGCTTTTGAAGGTGATGTTTTTCTTCAAATTGGGCAATTCTCTGGGTCTCTATGTTAGTTAGATGGTATACATATATATATACATATATAATTATATATATAATTATATATATACATATATATATATATAATTATATATATACATATATATATGTATAGATAGACATATATATATATATACATGCACATATATATATACACATGTATAATATGTTTTTATGTATATGTATATATAGATATGTGTATGTATATATATATAGATAGGTGTATGTGTATATATATATATACATACACATATATATTGGCTATATTTTGTAAATCGACAAGACTAACTAACACAACCAGTACAATTGTCCATAGATTCCCATGTTTTTGCCATAAATCTTCGTAGATTAATTCCCACAGATTCCCACATGTTCTCAAATTCATAGAATTTCCCAGGATATTCCCATCGTAAATTCCCATATTTAACTATTGTAAATTCCCATCGTTTCTCATGGATCTTTTCCAACACCGGAGCCGTCTCCTGCACGGCGGCGGGCATTGCGCTGGGCTGGCGAAGAACCCGGCTATGGAGGATCGGCAGGATATTTATTCGACTTAGTTGGTGAGCACAACTCCAAACAATATGGTTTATGACACTTATGACACTTGTTAACTATGACACTTATGACACTTATCGGCAGGATAGATTCCACAAGCCCCTCTTATGAAAATTGGTTTATTGGTCTATATAGTTAATGGGGGTTATAGCCCAATAAATCCAATAACTGAACCCCACAGGGATGTCATGATGTCATGATGTCATGATGTCCGCAGTGTTGGCATATTCTATCGGGACGATCTAGTTGAAAGTGATGATAAGCTGATAGTTTCGCATGATGTTGTTGGGGATACCCTCTGGTAAACTAACATTGCTATGGTACTATGGAAAATCCCAATGCTATTCATGGGAAAATTCACTATTTCGACTGGGCCATTTTCCATAGCTATGTTAAATTACCAGAGGTATGTTCAGACAAAGCGATATGCCCACTGGATGGATACGGATGAATTTCTTGAGCCGGGACTAGGATTTGTTACCCCAAAACATGTATGGCGGAAGCCGACATTTGCGATGATCACCTCAGCGGTCAAAACCATGGTTAGAACATGTTATAGCCCAGCTCCAAAGCGGGATATCCATAGGTAAGAAACTCAAAACCGATGGGTACTGAATCTTGTCACTTTCCAAATACTGGGATAAACATGGCCGAATCTTATCATTTGGTTCATCCATTCTCTGGGAATCGCATCGGTATTGTTGTGGAAGAATCTGAGCATTCTTACATTGCAGAACTCCCAAATTCCATGGTGCAAAAACATGCTTTTCCGCCTTGAAGTTGCCATAAACTGAAGGGTAAATCCCAGATTATTGGATAACTCATCTAGTTGGAAATATGCATATATATATATGCAGTATATATATTCCACCGCATCTCCATTATATCTCAACATATCTCCACTATTATAGGCAATCATTATTTCGCCTTGAAACCCCTATTGTATTACTAGTTATATCCCCATTAAAGACTCAGCAGCACCGCATTATGTATGAGGGTTTGTCTCTGTGAAACCCCAACCTCCAGATGGTTTCGAACCTCGCTTTCCCTCTGGCAAAGTGCAATGTTGGGGATATATCATGATATGTCCCATTTTCAGTCACGCCCATCAGTATATTGGTGTTGTAAGTTGTGTATGTATATATATATATCACTAATAACCATCAACTTGAACATCTTTTAATTCCCATTCTATACTCACTATATTGCCACTATAGACTATTGGAACCCGCCCAGATCCTATTGTATGTATCTCTCCCGCTATATACAGTATGTATGTATAATTATACATATACACACCCCATGGTTAGACAAAGACAAAGCTAGTGCTGTTTTGTCCCTGCAGGAGCTACGGCTGGTGGTGCAAACCGAACGCAAAGAGTTGCAACGCCTTTTTTTGGCCGCTTGTCGCGATGACACTTTATAAACTGTATATAGTTCAGAATAGTTTAAGATATGTTCTTGTATGTGGTGCTCATCTGAGATACTTGTTGTTGTATACACCTTTCACAACACTATGTCATGAGGAAATCGTTCGGACTCAACGGTTTCAGTGGTAAAGAACTGGAGTAAACACTGGTACCTATTGTCCCTGCCCTTTGGACATGGAAGCGAATTACTCAAGGTCTAAAAGTTTTATAAAACGTGAGAAATTCACAGGCAATAAATCTATTAGTTTTGTTTCTAACACGGTTTAAGCATGTTTCACTGCCGTGCTTGCCTGAACTCTAGTGAGTCATTTCTAGCACTATGCTGGAAGCAGTTCGCCAGTTCTACTCAAATTGCAACCGCACTGCCCTACTCAACAGCACGTGAACCGCCCAAAGGTGCTATGCTTTGCTGCAAGCCATTCAGACCCGGGCTTGTCTCAAGGGGATTTGCCTCCAATTTATGGTCATTAAAGAATTGGTGAACATATTGCATGAACAATGGAATAGGAATTCAGATTTTGAGACAAGCCCCAGATGGTTAATCAAAAAATGTCAATTGAGGATGGTTTGTTGGGTGGCTTTACCTCATTAGTCATCAGTTGGGCGCCTGGTTGATAACTGACGCTACTGAAATATTGACCCCAAAGCACAACTGGGCGGTTCTTCAGTCGGTTCACCCGATAAGTCACCAAAAAAAAGCATTCAAAAGGTACGTGTGACGATCTTAATTGGATTATATTGGATTTGACTTTTAGATACAGTGTAGTTTTTGTTGGTTGGACCCTGTATATAGTACATCCCCAGGGGATTCCTTCATGGCAAAAGCAAGAGACTTCGACGATGATCCAGAGTAGTAACTTAGTGAATAACCCTGGGTTAGCAGGCCCCAGTTTCGTGGGCTTGTCACATGTATTGATAAACTACGAGGTGGGATTATCCTCCAAGCGAACGTGGTTTAGCATTGTTGGTGATGGTGATACCCTCATTGATTGCTGCCATATCAGGCCACATCCCATATGATACCCTAGAAAGACAGTTGTGTTTCTCCTTCATATGGGTTCTAAAAATATAGTTGTGTCGCCATTGACCCGCTTGGGGTTTGCATACCTTTGCTATTATGTACTTCAAACAATGGTGTGTGTATATATATATACACGTGTGTTTGACCGATATATTGACTAGTTATATATATATACATATACTACATACACATACTTACATACTGTATACAATAGCATGTATATATATATACATGCTGGTACCCTATGACTTGCTGCTACGCCATGACTTGCTGGTATATGTTTTACATATTGTTCATTATACCAGCAAGTCATATACATTTCTGCATATATATATATATATACATTTCTACATATTTATATATATACAGATTCATTGATTCATTGATTGATTGATTGATTGATTGATTGATGCATATATCTTTTACACTATATGTCTATATAGGTATATATGAATATGTGTATGTATTATACATATAATTTATGTCTACTATGTATATATCTACATAATCATCATGGATCTACTCCAGGATGACTATGGGTTCTATGGATCTGGCTGAAAATTTGGTATCCCTAAATCCATTGGTTCATCATTATCCCTAGATGGCCATATTTCCACATCCATTTTTTCTGGGTAAATTATATCGTCCTCATTGTTTCCCCTCACTGGAATGACACCCCTTGGATTTGGGTAACGACCTCACAAAAACGGCCCAGCAGTTCTTAGTGAAATATGATCATTTGCCCAGATATACGATACGCATCTCTGCGAATATGATAGTAAATTTCAATGGAACCACTTCTGTCAATGACGAGTGCTTCTTGGTTGTAATGTATATATATATACACATACAACTATAGATTAGATCTATAATGATATATATATACCATCAACATAGCCCAAATGTTACCATATATAGCACCCATGGATCCTATGGGTAATGATACTATTATTATACATACTCCATGATTGATACTAATTAATGTTTATTATCATTATTTATACCATTATGATACTATTATCATAGTCATGGGTAATCGATACTATAATATTTCATTATTATGATACTAATTCCATATATATATACATAATATCATAATATACTAATTATTTGACAATGTGGTGACTATCATATATATTATTATATATTTATACACATTATTATGATACTAATTATAATGAAATGATTGATATTCACCCCATGATTCCACCCACGGCGACGTCCCGACGGCCCAAGGCCCATCGCTTTGCCGTGGAGGCCTCTCTGCAGCGCCTGGCCGATGCCGAGCTCCGGGTCGAGCGCTGTCAGTGTGAGGACGGGGACGGGGAAGGAATCCATCAAAAATATATACGGAATATATAAACCAAGTGTGATTTAAGCAATCAATATACATATATATACATGTGTGTTTGATGGGGATTCAACCACAGCAAGGTTGAATCAACCAATATTTATATATATATATATGTTTGATATATATATATATATATGTTTGATGGAGATTCAACCACAACAAGGTTGAATCAACCAATATATATATATGTGTTTGAGATATATATATATGTTTGATGGAGATTCAACCACAACAAGGTTGAATCAACCAATATATATATATATATATGTTTGATGGAGATTCAACCACAACAAGGTTGAATCAACCAATATATATATATATATGTTTGATATATATATATATATGTTTGATGGAGATTCACCACAACAAGGTTGAATCAACCAATATATATATATATGTTTGATGGAGATTCAACCACAACAAGGTTGAATCAACCAATATATATATATATGTTTGATATATATATGTTTGATGGAGATTCAACCACAACAAGGTTGAATCAACCAATATATATATATATGTTTGATATATATATGTTTGATGGAGATTCAACCACAACAAGGTTGAATCAACCAATATATATATATGTTTGATATATATATATATGTTTGATGGAGATTCACCACAACAAGGTTGAATCAACCAATATATATATATATATATGTTTGATGGAGATTCAACCACAACAAGGTTGAATCAACCAATATATATATATATATATGTTTGATATATATCTATGTGCTCGATGGAGATTCAACCACAACAAGGTTGAATCAACCAATATATATGTATATATCTGTTTGATGGAGATTCACCACAACAAGGTTGAATCAACCAATATTTATATATATATATATGTTTGATATATATATATATATTTATGTTTGGAGATTCACCACAACAAGGTTGAATCAACCAATATATATATATATTTGTTTGATGGAGATTCACACAACAAGGTTGAGTTAAGCAATCAATATATATATGTTTGATGGAGATTCAACCACAACAAGGTTGAGTTAACCTATATATATATATGTTTGATGGAGATTCACCACAACAAGGTTGAGTTAAGTAATCAATATATATATATGTTTGAGGGAGATTCAACCACAACAAGGTTGAGTCAAGCAATCAATATATATATATATGTTTGATGGAGATTCAACCACAACAAGGTTGAGTTAACCAATATATATATATATATATGTTTGATGGAAATTCAACCACAACATGGTTGAATCAACCCATATATATATATGTTTGATGGAGATTCACCACAACAAGGTTGAGTTAAGTAATCAATATATATATATGTTTGAGGGAGATTCAACCACAACAAGGTTGAGTCAAGCAATCAATATATATATATATGTTTGATGGAGATTCAACCACAACAAGGTTGAGTTAACCAATATATATATATATATATGTTTGATGGAAATTCAACCACAACATGGTTGAATCAACCCATATATATATATGTTTGATGGAGATTCACCACAACAAGGTTGAGTTAAGTAATCAATATATATATATGTTTGAGGGAGATTCAACCACAACAAGGTTGATTTAAGCAATCAATATATATATATGTTTGATGGAGATTCAACCACAACAAGGTTGAGTTAACCAATATATATATATATATTTGTTTGATGGAGATTCAACCACAACAAGGTTTGTTTAACCAATCAATATATATAAATATATACATGCTTAATGGAGATTCACCTATACATGCTCAATGGAGATTCACCACAACAAGGTTGAGTTAAGCAATCAATATATATATATGTTTGATGGAGATTCAACAAGGTTGAGTTAACCGATATATATATATATTTGATGGAGATTCAACCACAACAAGGTTGAGTTAACCAATATATATATATACATGTTTAATGGAGATTCACCACAACAAGGTTGAGTTAAGCAATCAATATATATATATATTTGTTTGATGGAGATTCAAACAAGGTTGAGTTAACCGATATATTTATATATATGTTTGATGGAGAGTCAACCACAACAAGGTTGAGTTAACCAATATATATAAATATTTGTTTAAATGGAGATTAAACCACAACACATTTGATTCAAGCAATCAATATGTATAGATATACATGTTGAATGGATATTCAACCACAACAAGGTTGAGTTAACCAATCAATGTAGATATATGTATATATGTTGAATGGAGATTCAACCACAACAAGGTTGATTTAAGCAATCAATATGTAGATATATATATACATGTTTAGTGGATATTCAACCACAACAAGGTTGAGTTAACCAAATAATAATGGAGATTCAGCCACAACAAGGTGGATTTAACCAATCAATCAATATATATATATATATGTATTTATATATATTAAAGTGGTGGTTTCAGCAATCAAAATGGGGATTTAAGCAACAAAAATTGTGCTATTATAGTATGGTTTAGTGGTTGTTTATTGGGTATCTATTAGTCAGCCGTCCCTCCACCTGCTTCGGTAACATGGCAATGGTAAATCCTCACAAAAGGATAAAAACGGAAGTTCCAATGGGAAATCATCTGCAAATGTTGAAATGTTCATTTCCGTATGGGGTAGGAGATATCCTGTAGCCCCCAGATATGGGGTATATATTATGTAATACACTGTAATAACTATGGCGTGTGGATAAGTTGTCTAGCTGCCTTATCCCATGCTTAAGCCGCTTGCAACTGCATTTAAGAACCAGTTTCTTTTGTTTGATGCCCACTTCTAATTTGGCTGATTGTTGGTTTCACAAATGTTCCATTTACAGCCCGAACAATGGGATGATGATACCAATTGACTTACATCTTGATATATACACACATATTCAGATGGGTCAGCATTCGTGGGCTAAGTGAGGTTTGGTGGGTGGCCAGCCAGTTTTATAGTGGTATATAATGGTTATGAATCCCACTTAGGGTATTAATCATTGCCGTTACGATGGGTTTGTCTAAAGATTCCATGGGAAATGCCAGGTAACACTGGTTAAACATGGTTTATAAACCATTACCCTGGGTTCAAGTACAAGCAGGGAACTCAATATTGTTGGTTAATCCCAGGGAATCTTAACATATCTTAACTGGTTAATCCTGATGTTACAGTAATTACTGGTCAAAAGTGGTTCCCTGGGCTATCCTATTTGTAGGTGATTCAGCTCCGCTTGGTCATGATTCATGTGGTGACCCTCCTGCATGGATGGGCGACAAGCATAAAGAAATGCTGAGTTGATCCTGAAAAATGTTGATTTTAGCCTGCGAACATGAGAAAACGTGAAGAGATAGATAGATCGTGATAGATCAAATCTCTAAATTTTATGGCTACTTGAATTTGTGTCCCAAGCTGCAGACATCACAAACCTCAAGGTGTTAGCAACTCGTTGGCCATCTGGGATACTCATCCGCAAGTCCCAGGTATCTGTAGGGAACATTATGAGCCCCCTGGATATGATTTGAAGTGGAAATAAGTGGAACAATATCAGAAGAAGCATAGCTGATCTTTGATATTATCTTTGATCAATTTGGATCGATTTGCACCCTAACATCTACAAGGTTTTTTATGCTGGCAAACTGCTGGAATTCCCATTCTTGCGCGTGACACCTCGCGTTAGCATACTCAACTGGGCCGCAGGAGATAGTCTCAGCAGACAAGGAGCTGACACTTGCAACAGGCCCAACGACCAGCACGGCTTCGGCTCTTCTCTAAACATGGCATGGAGTAAAAATCAATTCATCCCAAAGCTTGGAAAATAATGTTTCAGCATGTCAGACAATGATTCATGTTCTTTTCAGATGCTCCACATGCACATCCTGTCTCAAGATCCTTAAAGCTTGCCATCTATATTCTCAGTCAAGGCCAAGAGTTGAACTACCAGTCTGGGGCCCCTTCTGGAGAGTCTACAGCGCACTGATAGCATGCAAAAACCATTGGAATCTACCCTGCGGTAATCGAATATGGCTAGCTGGGAATCCCGAACAAAAGCGAGGTTGGTAGCAGGAAGAGTCATCAAACTAAATGGGTGATTTTCCATCCAGCCATGGAACTGATTGCCCCAGGGTAGCTTGAAATAATGTTGGTTGTTAAATGGATAGAACGAACCATGTATTTAACCCAACCCAACAGGGCGTCGGGTTTGCCATCGATTCCACTGCAGTTTCCGGTTTGCCTCGTGCTGAATTTGGCTCCCTTTCCACGCAGCTTGGTGGCCTCGCGCGACAGAAGGGACATGGAACTGGGCGAAATTGCAAAAACTCGGGATCCATAGCGGTTTCCTAAGTGGGCGATCCCCAGTCGTCACCATGATTCTTTCACATTGTTTCACTAAAATGGCCGACCACCAAATGTTGTATACGACTATCCGGTGTCCTATATTTCTTGTAGATTGTCTCGAAATTTACCAAAATGAAGGAAGTGACATGGCTGTGCTATGAGGATTTCATCGACAAACATGTTGTACTTAAGCAACACAGGGATGAGACGAATTGAGATGGGGATTTATATACCCAGAAAACATGGCAATCCAACCTGATGGCAAGCCAATCAAAGCAAGAAAAAACTATAAAAGACTGATTGCCAAGTCAACTTGTCAGAAGATAGGTATGGTGCAAAGATGGAGTATCAAACGGATCAAGCATGTTCACTGATACTTGTATCCAAAATTCAATTCTGAGAGTTTATGTTGAGAGTCAGTACTAAAAAGGTCCCTGGCAAAAACTGCTTTGTATGGGGATGTGGGGACGCATTTTTTAAAATATGAATATACCCACTCGTAATTAACGAGCCAGGTCCTTCATAGACTTTTGGTAAAAAAGCTGTTCATGTCATGTCCTCGGGGTCCATAAATCGATTAAAGGGAACGAAATACAGGAAGCCACGGTTTTACCAGCCAAATGTCAGGTATTTTTTCTCTTCAGCCAATGCTGGGGCAAAAGATCGAATTAACTCCGATCTCAGGCCCCATGACTGTAAAAACCAAAGGGTTTCCTGCGGAAATTGAAATCGAAGCAGTGAAAGTCCAAAAAATCATTGGCATGTTTCTTGGACATCTATTGAAAATTTATTGAATGAAATCAATTGAACTCACCTGTTGTTGTTGTTGTTGTTGTTGTTGCTGTTGCTGTTGCTGTTGTTGTTGTTGTCGTTTTTCTAATGTTTTCCATATACTTATATTGCTTAAGTTTCAAGTGAAATACTTACTTAAGTTGATCATCCTGAGTTCCCCAGATCTGGTCCCCAAGAAAATGCCGAGTTATTGAGTGGACTAAAATTGTTTGGGGGGGCGGCCCTACACTAATCCGCGTCATTGTTTTGCTTAAGTTTCCGTCCGAACTTTCTCCACATCTATTGGTTGAAATTCACCAACTGAGCTCACAGCTTAGGGCCACCCTCCAACCCTGTGTGTTGGAGAGCAGCGATCCCGCTCCAGAGAACCCCTTCAAGGACATCCAGGAGGCCAGCGAAACAGCCATGGCCTACAGGTCTCCTTTGTTTCATCTGACAATCTGATACAATCTGATAATTTCGGATTCGTCAGATTATTTAGAGATTGAATGTATATATCCAGAACCAATGATGCTTTGCTGCTGGTCTTGTTTTGAGTTGGTGAGCCGCCTCCTCCAACCGTGAAAGCTGACCAGCAATGTCAACCCTGGATGCCTTTGCCAAATAGTGATTTCATCATATTTCATCCGCTACTAAAATGGCACCAATCAAACATTCAACACGCCATTGAGACTTCAACCCTGGTGTTATAACATTTATAACCGATGTCTGCAAACCCTGGTCGCTCGTTTTTCTTTTTAATCTCCAGTTGTGACCAGGTCAACGAGTCCAAGAAGAAACGCGTCTTTTGGCCAATAAACAGAGGGATTTCCGTGGGTGGATTGCAGTGTGATGGGGCAAACTTGGTACACGACGTTGGTGTGACTTTGTGGCCTGTGCGTACTTCAACAGGTGTTTTTGCACATGTCATCGGATTCTGTATACAGATCAGTACTCGTATAATATAACATGCGAATGAAATACACTGTGTACAAAGGAGTTCCCTGCACTATGGAGAGTGTGAAGCAATGCGAACCTTTGTGAAGGTAGAGCCGGGGTCCTATTGATCTCTTTCAAGAGAAATTCTTCAGACAACTCGTTGATAATCAGATGTTCCCTCATTTCTCCGATATCTACATTTACTTTCCTGTATTTTATTTCATGTATGTACGACTTGTTCTACCTGGTTGAACTCGACTATTCACCGATATCGTAACAAAGAAATTCATACACAGTATTTATATACAAATCATATTGTATACACATTTCAATCACATATAATATATAGTATTCTATATAAATTATACATGTAATATCCTGTATTGCCAGCCTTGGTATTGACCACCAGCTTTTTCAGTTGTCACAGTCGTCGCCAGTCGTGACTTATTTTTTGTCGGTGCAACGCGGCGACGGCTGGTTTTGAAAGGTCCTGTATGTAGAGAAAAACACTGATAATCAAGTTTCCAAGTTCTTTTAACAGTGATATATGTGTTTGTTATTGTGTAATAACATAAGTGAAATCAGTGTTTTTCCAACTTTATCACTGATGTTTATATCGGATAAACACTGATAAACATTAAGTTGAAGATTTCCCGCATACCAATCCATGGATCTGGCGCTAAGTAAGGTACTCCACCATGGCTGGAACAAACTGCTGGGGGTTCCAACTAATTAGCCCTGTTTGGTGAACGGAGGGTAAAATAATGATCAACAATTATGAGCATAGATGTACTGTACATCCCTACATACTCACTATGTGATTCTCTGCAGGGATGCACTGTACATACTGTACATCCTTGCAGAGCTTTTTTTCCATCGAGTCAAATTTCGGCCAGCGATGTGGCAAACCTTGGTGAAGAATACATTATTGTATATTATTGTTGTCTCTTGTTCCATCATTAGTAGAGAAGAAACCCATCATAATATGCATGCATTAGCAATGTATTTGCCATCAATTAAAAGAGAAGATTACATCTGTTTCAGACCTCCCCTCCTTGAACCCATATATTGTCTAGTAGGGAATGTTTGTCTTATTAGTCTACAGTAGTCAATTGCGGGTTATTAGCGGTGTTACCAGTCAAAGCCCCAGTGTTTTTACGCAATGTGTGCCACCATCAAAACCCAGGAGTCCTACAGTAAATAGTACCTAGTCCCTTCCCTCCAAGACCAAATACACCAATAGAAATCCTGGTGTGGTATTGAATCTAGTCATTTTCGCTTCCATCACTGGCACATCTTATGCCAGAGAGGTTGGGAGGTTTTGGTGCTACCAAGCAGCTATCCCAAATAGGGCTTGGATGGTCAAGCAGCGAACTATGCCGAATGTGCCAGCACCCCACTCTAACAATCCTATGATGTTTCCAGCATTTACCTATTTTTCTCATTTATCAATTATTTTTGTTGGGTCGTATACATAAAGAGATACATTCCTGAATTCTAACGTAGAACTTCAGGCTATTCCTGAGGGCACCTAACATGGCACCATGGCACGGTGTGGAGTGGATTTTGTTCCCCGGGAAATCATGCAGCTAACATTTTTATAAAATCACTCCAAAATTGACATGGAACCCAATGCAGGCCCGAACTGAACCCAAACTGCACCCTGAAACAGCCAACATGAAATTTGAAAAAGTCACCGCAAGTCGATCTGCAACCTTGAAGGCCGGGTTGAAGGCTAACCTGGAATCCAAATGGTTTTTAAGGCGTTGCTCCTGAAAATTCCATGTTGGTCTTTCGGGCGACGGAATGAAAAAACATACCAAAGAAACAGGTCAGATCCTTCATTCCCTTCAAAAAAGCTATTCAGGTTCCAGGTCTGTGGTGGGGAAAGAACTGAAGCCAAAACGCCTCCAAGAAAAGGTCGTGTTGGCACTTATTTTTCTTTAGCAGTTGTAAAGCAATACTAGGATCCTCAAAAACATTGACATCTCCTGTCAAGCGCCATTGGAAAGCAACAATGACTAACACGGAAGTTTTGGATTCGCCCTGAGTGGCAACATGCGGGGTTCTATGTTAGTATGAAAAGCGCTCAAAAAGATCAAAAAAGTGTCAAACAATATCCAAATTCACCAGGCCTGATGTGCACCAACATGGCACCTGCCCTGCACATATCCTGGTCATGAATTTTAACATAGGTGAGCCAACATGGAACCCAATTATTTTATTTTTGTTTGTTTTGTAAAATGTTAGTTTTCGGGAGAGTAGGTTGGTTTCCCGTTACTTTGAAAAACACGAAGCTCCAAGCCTCCAAGCCTCCAAGCTCCATCGGGGCATCATGGCTTGTCCGGAGCTGTTCTCTAAATCCATTGATCTTCAGAGATGATTTAACGGAAGTTGGGTTTCTCCAAAAAAGAAAGGGTACCCTCCGGATCCCTCCGGTACCCCGGAAATTTCCTGATTCACTTTTCAGACACACCGAATGTCATATTGTTGTTTACATTCCATTTTGTCCCCACTACATCCCTAATCATTCAGTATTCACATTATATATATTATACATATTGTAGTATATACTATTATATATATATTATATATAGTATGTGTTATATTTGATATATTATGTACTATATATATATGATTATGTATTTCATATTATATATCATATATCATATATTATACGTTAAACATTATTTAGGTTTTTTAATGTAATCATACATATATAATATAATCATATACAATACAATTATATAATATATAATTTACACTATATAATACATATATGTATATAATATATATATATAAAGGTTTCCCCATGACTTCAAAGGTCAGTACCGCCTCTGCCAATTCGGGACACTCCGTGGTGTCTGCCCACTCTGATGTGCAGAGCGTTCCTCGGTGATCAAAGCAAGAAAAGTTCCTCGTTTGGGACTTAGCCAACAATAGGGGACATAGTGGGAACCTATATACATCCTATATATTAAATATACAACGTATATTACATATACATATACTATAGATGCATATATTATGATACGTGCTTTATATAGATGTATTTGTTATATATTATTTGCAAATAATATATGTATTATATACATACGTGTTTTTTTATTTCTGGATATTTACATATGTATATAGCTACTTATTTTATCATATCCTGCCATATCATACTATATTGGTGTATGGTATTTAATATTGCATTGTTTTTTTATTGTTTTGTATTATTATACATTTTTGGATGTAATATTTTATAGTCAATTGCATTGCATACTATATTATATAGTCCGTCATTGTGTCATATATTATATTATACGTTGTACCGTATAATTTATATCTGTTTTGTTTTATAATATACAGTTTGTTCTTTCATAGTAACTCATAAAATATGTTTACATTACAATAAGTGTTGTTTAGTACTTGTTTTATTATATTAGATGGTGGTTTCATCATTATTACAACATACTGTGTTGGTTTATTCTAGTATATCAGAATATATTATATTCTATCTTGTTTCCGGTTCATATCTTATTGTTGCCATTTTTTTATATGTTATTATGTTATATATACTATTTGATATTGTATGTTATTGCATTACATCAATATTATATTTTTGTATATTATATTATATCATGTCATATGATAATGATTATGTTTTATTACATTGTATTATTTTTTATAGTGTTTCTGTTTTCAGATTATATGTGTTTTACATTATATGTGGTTTACATTATATTATATCAGGTTATATTATAGTGTACTCTATATTCTAATTTAATTTAGTATAACATAATATTTTATTATTTTAGATCATACTACATGATATTGTCTATATATATATATATAGTTTAATTTACTTGATGAAATTGTAGAAACTTTTACCCCACATGTCGAAGCTGTAGGACACGTACCCACTTGTATGTTCGGTGCTTCAAAAGGTCACTACCTGTGAGGCCAGTCTATGCACCTTGGATGACCATGTGTTTGCCCAGTGAGACGTGCATAGGGGATGATCATTTGTTTGCCCATTCATTAGGGCTGCTGAATATCTCCACAAAACCTGACAGAAAAGGTGAAATTTGGTGTTTTCAATCCATGGCCATTTCAGTAAGTTAGAGGTACCTACCATATGTACAACATATATCAAAGTATGGCCTTCTATGGTACATTTTCTCCATGTTAGGGTCCTAAAAATTTGCCATTTTTGTTTTGGGTCGACCTTCAATTTCGGTCGACAAAAACCGTAGGCCGCGTTGTTCACCTTCGAAGAAGAGGGGACAGTTCAATCCAGGTGCGATGGAAATCCGATGGAAATCACTGGGAAATCGACCCTGGACTTCGACATGTTACCCTCTGGTTATGTCTGTTACATAGCCATGATATACTGGTTGGTGGTTTCAAACATTTTTTATTTTCCATAATATATGGGATAATTCTTCCCATTGACTAATATTTTTCAAGATGGTTAAAACCACCAACCAGTATAGATGGCCCATAGAAATAGATGGTTTACCGAACTTAAAAATAAAAGGGATCTTTCCATGGCGAACTGTTGAATAACCAGATGGTATCTATGATGGATTTTACTGGGAATTCATGTTCGTGCAGGGTAGGGCTGGGGAACCCATCTATCATCGATGTTTTTGAATTCTCCGCCATGAATTCGTCAGGTTTGGGATGGTCTACAGATTGACCTGATTTTGGACATGTGGATCCGCATGGGGCCAACACTGGAGAGTGTGTGCACATTAGAGCCAGTGCACACTAGTGGTTATTAGAGGATCGGTTGTTCTTCTTGTTTGAGCAGTGATTCCTTTTTTTTGAGGGTCTCAAAAAAGGTGTTTGTTATTGGTCCATCATGGTCTATTTTGCCATGTAGGATGTCTCGCCGAAGTTTGACCTATTCTCATTGCTGTTGGATGTGTGGTAAAAAAAAACAACCGCAAAAATCTTTCACTAGCTTTCCTAAAAATACTGGCAAAAAAGTGGTTCTATTTCTGGGGATTAGTTTTGTATGTACCATAGCCGTGTTGTCCATTTAATTATATTATGTTGTCAGAACTCCTCCCAGTACCAAAATCATCCCACTTTTGCGCGTGTCCAGTCCACCGGCTTCAAATGCGGACAGCGGCACTGTACCAGTCGAACGAGGGCAGTCTTTGAGGAAGGCACCTGATCTGGCAGTTGGTGCTGGATCCGTGATTGACACCTTTCCGATTTCACGATATCTATGAATAATTGATGATATTTGTTGATTATATATGTATATATATATATAACATAGATATTATTTAATATAAGCGTATATTTGCACATGTGTGTATGTTTATATAATCTATATATATGTACACATTTATATAGGAAGGTTGAAGCCATAGGCATGAGTCGTTTCATATGCAACCTATTGTCGGCAGTCGTTCTGGGGGACTTTGCCCGATGCCCTATTTGACAGGATATGTTTCTTTGGAAACAAATGGTGGTTTGGCCAAGTGGGTAACACCGGTTTCAATGACAGGCACATTGGAAACTTGTAAGGACAGATCCTTTTTGACCAGAACACATAACATGTTTTTTTTGATTATTTGGCTTTAATATTCATTTTACATGTATATAGATATATAGATTATATATCTAATATATGTTTGTACATGAATATATATATATATATATGTGTGGGTGTGGGTGTGTACATATCGTTTTTTGGGCATACATGTTCATTTGTCCATACTAGGGTAATAGGAAACCAGACCAAACTGCATTTAAGTACAAGTTACGGAACTGTGTGTTTGTATTGTAAAGGGTGCGTTTGGTCGCAAACCACCTGAGAAGGGCCTTTGGGTGCTTTTCTAATCTGATTGTTTCTTTGTCAGCCGGGCTGTTCCAAAGGTCTCTTGATTGCTTTTTTATTCATACTGTAGAACAATACCCATCATTCACCCACAAAATATCATACTTGTTCTACTTAAAAAAGAAAAAATACGTTTTAAATGTGTCCATCTATACATGTATCTGTTTAATTTGGAATCGATGCATATATGATCTGTATATACACATTCAGTATATGTCGCTCCTGAAGGTAATCTGAGGAATTTGAACACTCTGAAAAAAACAAAAACATGTATATATACAATTATATACATACATATGCTCGATTACATATACATATATATTTATGATATTATACTTAATATAGATATATATATATACATAATATATGTGCATCATACTTGTACATACTCAGTATCCCCACGTCCATGATGTTGTTTCGCTCCAACTACCAGGCCGTTCGGGGCATTTGTTCAGCCGGCAACGTCAGGTGACCAACAACGCCGTGGATATCTTCCTGCAAGAACCGCCGCTCCAGGGCTGGGAGCGATGGAAGAAGTGTCTCAAGGTCCGGCGGTGGGATCGCGTCGCGGGTTTCGGTTGATAAAAGTGTGTAATCTGTTGTGATCTGCTGGGATCTGCCCTATGTGAATTTTATGGGATATCATGGGATGTAACTAACCACCTTAATTAATCTGTTTATTCCCATTTATTTTTTGTGTGTTTGACTGATAAAGGGATTTGGCCTGATTATATTGCGAAATTATTCAGGACAATAATGATTACAGTAGTCGTCAAACTTGGGGGTACTATATTTTCAGACAACCCTGTCATATAGTCGAAGGAAGTTTAGAAGTCAAACTTCCGACAATATGGACAGATGGAAAAGCAGAGGTGGGAAGAGTCAGAGAAGAGAAGAGAAGAAGAAAGAAGATCAGCGAAGAGAAAGAGTCAGAAGAAAGAAGATGCAGGTGCGCGAAAAGGTAGAAATGTGTTTTTCCAATGATTTGTGGCTCCGGAGGGTCGAAAAGTAGGCTTGCTAAAGTGGCAGGTGCGGAGCCATTTGGCCAGATGCAAGATGAAAAATGGCACGCCGTTGTTGCGCGAAGCACTTTTCGCAGTCAAAAGTGTAAAAAAGTCACGGTCTCGAAGCCCTGTTGGAAGTTGCGATGTTGAAAAAGTGCACGAAGCACATTTCGAAGTCAAAAGTGTAAAAAATTGACGGGTTTGAATATTTGGAGCATTTTTGGAAGTTGAGATGTTGAAGAAGCGCACGCCGTTGTGGCGCGAAGCACGTCTCGAAGTCAAAACGTACAAAACACCACATGTTCGCGCCACTTTTGGACGTTGAAGCGTCATTTTGCGTGGCAGGCACAAGGGATCGTGCACCGTGTCAAAAGTGAGCAAAACGTGAGGGTTTTGTAGCATTTCCAAAAACGATGGCAGGCGTGGGACATTTGAAGAGGATCTGCAAAGATGCATTTTCTGTGGCAGGCGCAGTACAAGAGACATGTTCATCAGAGCTGTTCGGAGGTCCGGGCGCTGATTTCCTGAGAGGGGTTGCATTTCGGAGCATCAGATCTTCAAGTTTGCTAAGATGATTTGGCGTGACAGGTGCAGCACTTCGTATGACCTGGAATCACTTTTTCGTGTCAGGCGAAGTACTTTAGACAGATGGAGTGGAAAAATCGCAAAACGCATTGGTACAAGGCCGTCAGCTCTGCACTCAACTTTCCATTTTTGAAGGAAGTCTCGCAGAATTGCTTTGTTTTTGATGTTGTCAATTTCAAGAAATGAGGAAGTCTTGCAGATTTGTTTCGTTTTTGACGTTGTCAAGTTCAAAAATTAAGGAAGTCTCGCAGAACTGCGCTTCTGATGTTGTCAAGTTCATAAACGGAGGAAATCTCGCAGAATAGCTTCATTTTCAAGTTTGCAGATAGACAGATGGATAGATAGACATCTACAACTACCACTACCACTACCACTACATTACACTACTACTACTACTACTACTACTACTACTACTACTACTACTACTACTACTACTCCTGCTACTACTACTACTACTACTACTACTAGTACTACTACTACTACTACTACTACTACTACTACTACTACTACTAGTACTACTACTACTACTACTACTATTACTACTACTACTACTAATAATAATAATAACAATAACAATAATAATAATATACTACGCTACATCACACTGCACTATACTAACTACATCTAATTACGCTACACTACACTAATTGCACATAATTGCACTACAACTACAACCACTACTACCACAGCTACAACTACAAGTACAACTACGCTACATTACACTACACTACATTACACTAATTACACTGCAGCACACTACAACTACAAATACAAATACAACTACAACTCCACTACACTGCAACTACAACTACACTAATTACATTACAACTACAACTACAGGTGCGCTACACCACAATACATCCAGCAGTTGTGGGCGAGGTGACCACTGCAACCATTGCAACCACTCCAAAAAACACAACCCCAACCAACCACCTTTCGGTCCATCAGTGGATTCGCTCTGCCATCCATGCATCACAACAACTCACCTCTCCTATGGCGCCCTAGCTTTGAAACTTCCGCCACTGCCTTGTGCTGCACTACTGGTATATATAATGCATGATTGTTTGATGATGAAAATGATGATGACGACAGTGAAAAGGACGACAACCATGACGGTGACAGTGGCAATGAGGGCGATGACGTATTGATGTTTCTGAAGCAACCGGGATACCACCAGCGAAGCTGGTGTCCTGCGAGCTCGAATCGAGGGGCGCAAAGCCGAAGGAGAACTGCATGCAAAATCAAAGTTCGCCCTCGGTAGCACCCACTAACAACAAGGGAATGACCAAGATTGCCCATTCGCCAATCGGCAGCCCACGCCGTACAGCGGTGGGGTAGCACACTTCGAACACTGCCACCAACCCATAGGCGGTAGCCCACCAACTTGTTCGAGATGACACACGGCCATCATTGCCACGCAACAACTGCCCAAGCAATCCATGATGGCGATGATCATGATGATGACGACGACAACGATGATATCAACACTGCGATACTATACTGTATATACATGGTGCCATCAAACGGACACAACAAATAACGCATCACATCGACGATCCAACCAAAACAAACCAGAAATCAAGAATTTACTACATAAGAAAGCGGCAGTGTTGATATGTCGCATGTCCTACATGGCCATTACTCTGGGCATCGCCAGGCAAGCATTGATTACGTTGCGGCCATTCTGGTGTTGCTGAATTCTATCGTTCTGTTGATGGAGTCACTTGGCCAGCCATTATCCGAAGGGGTGTTTTTTCAAGGAAAAAACACACTGTACTTGTACGTGCCTGCATATTATAATACATGAATTGGCAATCATGACAAGTAACCGGTAAACTCTGCATAAGGGATTGTCCCTTTGTCACTCACCATTCACCAAGCTCTTAGAGCATATCTGCTGATTATTCTTCGTGTTTGTTGTTTATTTTCCTCGCTTTTTGGGCTGAACACAAACGTAGATTGGACACCGACCAGCTCAACCACCAACACTGCGTAAAACACAAATTAGGTCGAATCATTTTGCTGGTCAACCCGCGCATGTTGTTGGTAGACATCCCGATATCCCATCATGTTTATTTTATCCCTGCATATCATCCAACTTTACATTTTTGGGCCCAGCTCAGTAGACAATTATGGACCACCACTGGATCCAAACAAATCTTCAATGATTGACCAATGCGAAGAGAAGCACACTTATATAATCTGAGTTTTGACAACTCGAAAATCTGCATGAAATCTATGGAAATCTCATATTTGTGCGTAGGAATGCGGTTTCCTGTAAACAAATGCCTGCAATTCATTGAAATGAAATTGACAACAGAACTATAGATGATTGCAGTCTGATCACACGATCAATTCGTGGCATTGAGATTGAAGAGATAAACCCTGCAAGAATAGCCTTTCAAGTGATTTCGGACGGTTTCGCTCACACCATCCAGCTATATTATGTGTACAATTATCCACCATAAATCCATCCAATCTTTACTGTAGCCTAGTTGCAGGGTGGTATCCCCCAGTCATGAGTACGTTTTTAACCCCATGAATGAACTATTTAGATGTATCTACCATAGACCCAACAGTTGTTAGGGTTCAAACACCACGTATGTAATCCACTTATTACAAAAATCGGGACATCACCATTATCATCCATCACAAAAAATAATGCAGATATATTCCATTCGAATCCCATTACATCTCCTTGAAATTCCATTTCAGGTGGTTAGGAGGGCCTATTCGGAGCTATGGAGCTATGCGCAGCCGTTGTTGGAGTTACGAAGAGTTTCCCAAGCACATCATATTTAAATATATTTAAAGATGTATTTCATGTTAGGTTTCAGCAATGTCGTAAACCAGCCATTTTTAGATAGTTTTATACTAGCCATCAAAATGATAAGTCATTGGGGGTGGATCCACAGGTTCTTTGCTGTGCAGGTTGGAGTTCAAAGGCAACGCCATCGGTGCCAAAATGGGTTTGTCCTCTGGACCTTCCCTGGATGAGCTGCTGGGTTTCCAATCGGGTCAGACCGGTCCTTCTCGTTAAACCGTTAAGAAAGGGATAAACATGGTATATTGTTTCACATTATTCCATTCGTTTGGTGATTTTTCTATGTACACTACCAATTGCTAGTTCATTAATTAATCATATCCATACATATCATCATCGTTCATCATCCATCAGTATTTTCGATTTAGATCGATTTAGATTCTTGGTGGGTATCCATATTCATTTACATCATCCATCATATCCATAGATCTTTTTGCCTTTCTAATCATGAACCTTAAAGGGGTGGGTCAAGGCCCTGGCTCCCGCTACGCGCTACGCCGAGGATCCAGCCCGTGTTCCAGGGTTTGGACAGGCCGAAGTCTGTGATGCACCGTTGATCTCTGGAGATTTTTGTGTTTTGTTTTCCATATTTTGATGGCTAAACATCCTATGAATTCCCTATTTTTCTTGGATTTCCTATGGAATTTCCGTTTAGACAACAGGGTTCCCCAACCGAAAATCGGGAATTCTTGTTGGATGTTTAGCCCATGAAAATTAATGGAATTCACCACAAGAAATCGGTAGGTAGACCCAATTTGCACATCCCATTTGGGGATGGTTGGGTTTACCGTGGATAAAATGCAGAAACCAAAAAAGTTTTCCAAAAACGAATGCTTTTTTGAAGAAATCAGCTAACCAATTGGTAGATGGGCAAGATCCCATTATGATTGCACTAATTATGATTGGTTACTGTTAATAGTGGGATTATAATCATAATGGAATTATAATGATCCCATATTCCATTATGATTTTAATCCCACTATTAACAGTAATTCAGAAAGTACGTCTGGAAACATGTGGGAATATGTTGATTTTTACAAACACATGTTTTTTGCTGTTTTTATATTTGGTGATCCACTTTTCCGGGTTACTGATACTGGGTGTGCCAAGTGACACAATATGCTGCATATGGATTGGGGTTTGTTGCTTTATGCAGGATTATTCGGCCATGATCATGATCCCAACTTCACTCTGGTCTAGGACGGTTTCAAGTATCTTTGAAATGCCAACGTGGGAAAAGCAAACCTTGGCTGATTGATGAGATGATTGGAATAGTTCGGTGCGGAAAGTGGCCTATCATGGACCCTTAAGAAAAACAACCAGGGGGTCTGCATTTGGGGCTGACATTACACTCAGGAGTTCATGGTACATATCTGTGCTATGTTGATGAGTTCAAAGGTTGTGCATGTTCCATCCCTGCTTGGGAAGACTATGGCGCAAGACAGAGATGCATTCGGGTGTTTTTTTTAAGTGACCAATGGGACGTAAACGGTCCAACTGTCTGTCCTACTATCATCACCTTGATTAAAGTTGTAAATGCTGTAGCATCTCATGGTCTTTAAACGATTGTCATTTTGAGGGGTGAAGTTGGTGTTGAGACCTGTGCAAGATTTCCCCCTCCCCACAGTTGTGGATTGGTTTATAACCTCATCCGACTGTAGATATATCCACATTAAATCCATCCGTTTTGTATAGCCTAGTTATTATAAACCAACATTCCGTACTTATCAACAGGCCCGTTCTTGTGTAGGTTCAAAGTTGATCGGCCGCGTCCGGTTGTTTTTGTCAGTAATTGGCAACTGGCTGCTCACCGCACATGACTCTGGCTCCGATGTCTAAGATGTATTAAAGGGCCCTTGCTGATACTGTATCATGGGCCATCTTACTCGATGGCAAAACTTTATATGTGCCGTTATATGCCTGCGGGAAGTATCAGATTCAGAATTGCTGACCAACTTATTCAAACATAATATCCACTTGAAACTAGGTATCCATTTGAAATTTAGTTTCCCAAGTTATGTTCATAATTGGATTGGTGTATCACCATCATTTATTTCTCTGTTTTGGGTGCTACACTGAGACTATTTCAAATGACCCCTAAGTGAGCCTGGGATGGAGATTAACCACGAACCAGCTGCCCTTACCCAGACATATTTGTCAGACTCCCCAAAGAATTCTTGGTCGTTTATGCCCTCAGTCTGACTCAGTTTGTTTTTCCTGGTTAAGCCTCCTGGCTGCCTGCTGATTAACTCCCTTCTAGTCAATGAACTACAGTTTCAAGCCTGCTTGAAGCATATCAAGCCCAAGCTTTGTTTGCTTAGCAAGTTTATTTTTGCTGATTGCCCTTCTTTTCTTTTGGTGGAGGCCCTTTGTAGTTGTTTCTCATCAACCCTCTGTTTTTTGCCAGTTAATCCACATGTTTGGTCAAACCTCGCTATTGGTGGCAATGTGCCCATTCTTTTGACTCAATTCGTTTGTTGCTTGGTTCAATTCCTTTGTTGATCTCTTAAACATTCCCCAAAAAGGTTACACATATTATATACAAATATATACACTATATTATCCAAGTTTTGCGTACCTTTGATCGTTTTCCCTGGTTTTGCTGGTGAATGTTCATTGGAATCATATAGCAGAAATCCATAGCTTTCTCGAAAAATATCTACTTTTCCCTTGGTTGATGAGTTTTCCTCCGTTTTACTTTGAGGTACTATAGAGAATTGCCCAATTTCACCACAGGATGGTGATTTTCCCACTGATTTCCTCCAGTTGTCCATGTCGACTTGGGGCAGATTCTTCGTCTTCATCTTCCTCGCAGAGCTGCTGATCCGCATCACTGTGGAACAGAGAGACTTCGTCAAGGCAGGGAAGCCGCTGTACAAAGGGGAGATGTATCTGTAGACAATGTCATAGTTATCATCAGTTCCTGGCATATATATATATATATATGTGTGTGTAATATGTGTATGTATGTATGTTAATAGTAATTTATTAAATTATATATATATACATACATAATCAATATACGTATATGTATATATGTGTGCATCTCTATCACTGTACAACTATAATCAAGTATATATACAGATAGTATGATACAATATCTATTTACACATGATTTGATACAGGGTATGCATGTAGATGCGACGAATGTAAGTTTTTACCAAAAAACTGTACATATTACAGTATATGATAGGCCATATACTTTGTGTTATTATATATATACACACATTTTTGCTATGTATATATATATATACATACAATTACATACATATATTTACACCATACACATAGTTTACCCTTTTTCTGTGTAATATCACATGTGTACATAGTTGTGCATTTCTATTATGCCTTTTTTTGTGTATTCGATAGATATATCATGGCCCCATGGCCCCATGGCATATCAGGAGTGGACCAATTTCCTGGACGCCGCGCTGGTCATCTTGGGTCTGGTGGACTTTGGCTTCAGCCTTCAGGCGGATGGTGGTGGATCTCTGAGGACCCACTTGGATGGATTCCATGGTGATTTTCTGGGGGTTAAAGGGTCAATTCAAACAAAAAAAATAACACTAGTTAACCATGTTTTTTTTCGGGATGTGGATTTGTGGGTGTCAGTTCAAAAAAAGAATATACATGATATAACCATAGAATAGATGGGGATGAAATGGGTCATACAAGATACTATAAACATCTCTACGAACCCTAATTTGAAGGGAAGAACATCCATTTAAAAATTTACCAGCTAGTTTGGTGTGAGCAGAAGGGCTTTGAGCTTTTGACCGCTAATTTGTAGATGGGATATGCATATATTGACCATGGATACACCCCTTAAACCTTGCGGTTGTTGAAAAATTGGGGACATGATGAGAAACCACTGAATTTATATAAATGTTTTTGGGTTATACAGCTTGTAAATGCTTGTAACCTGTTATACACAATGTTTCCGAAAACGCCATACTGTATGATAGTTGTTACTTCCCTGGGTGTCATGCAGCACACACCATGCCGGGCATTTCAACCAGTTTTAAGTCATAGGATTTTAAGGTACCCAATGGGCGTAGTAGGAATCATTGCAATTGCAAAATGGCATTCAGTGACACCAGAACAGAGAAGATGAAGCTCTTTGAAAGAAGGTCATAAAATAATAGCTGCATTTTCTATATGGTCAAGTATCAACGTTCATTGGGAAAAACATTGTTGAAATCACGTGTTGGCACGTACCTAAATTCAGCCAAATTTCATGGAACAAGTGTATTATTGTATTATTCATTTTGGTTGAAACACTAGAGGAGTTTGTGACTTCAATCCGACTGACCTCAGACCTTGAATTTGCTCAGCAGTTGGCATAAATCATGATATTTTGAGGATGTCTACATGTTTTCATGTTTGTATGTTCTGTATTTTTAATGTTTGTATGTTCAGTATGTTCAATCGCGGTACTGGTACTTGTACTTCAATATTTCTGCGATGTGTATATCCTTAGGCTGTTATTTGAGCCCGAGACCATTTAGGCTGAACTTTTAACCGGCGTTTGGAACTTCTGCCTGTTTGAGTGTTGTGCTGTTTTGGGCAGAACATATAGGTTCATGATGGTTCAGGTATTTCCGCCCGTTTCATACACTTTTCCGCGTGAGATTTTTGGGTGGCAACATCGGACATCATCGGAAATCCCATGGGAAATCTGGTTTCTCCCAGACATTTCACCAGAAAAATCTGCTGATTTCTGATTTCGCAATTCAGGCGGAAATTAGGACCATTAGGAAGATGTAGATATATCATAGTAATTATGTAAGATGTTTTTCCTGAAACCCTTGGTTTTTCCTGTGCAAGCAATGTGTGTTGCGGCAATTGACTCAGCATTTTTTGGTAGCGAAACTCTCCAATGGAATGGCAAACATGGGTCTTACAACGGCACGTAACGGCTGCCTCATGCAGGGTTCTCCCCCCAGCTGATGGAAACAGCCGGAGGATGGTTGAAATGAAGTTACTCACAGTTGACTTCAGTTGCGATTCGTCACCAACTCGTAGTTTCTCGCTGCCAGGTGTCTGATGGTGATGTGGTGCCCAAGGATATTGTTTTGCTGTGACTCGGCAAAGAAACTTTTGGTTGGAATCTGTAGGACAACCACATCTTAATATAGATCAGTGATCATCAATGTATGGTACATTTTTTCGCCTCAGATTCAGTTTCAGGGGTGACCAGAGGTGACCTCGCAAAAGAACCAACCTGAGGAAACCAAAAAGAAAGCAATGGTTGAACATGGACCCGGAGTATTTTTGGTTCAATCACATCCTTGCTTGGAAAACTGACATCTTTTGTTTTGGGAAAAAGGACTAGTGACTATGTGTTTTAGATGTTTCTTTGAATCCACATTCATTTGTTTCTTTTTGATATGTTGGATCGATAAGGATCAATTGCATTGCCAACAGCCTCAACAGGGCCTGCGTCAGGCGTCTCATGAGGGCCTTGAAGTCCCTGCGGGCCATACGGATGATGCGCAGCTTCCGACTCTTCCGGGGCCTGCGCTTGTTGGCGCCCTGGCGTTTCGTTGCACCGCCGTTGGCATCCGTTGAAACTGCCGAAAGTTGGATAAATCCAGACCTGATTGGTGGTTTGGAACATGATTTTTATTTTTCCATATATTGGGAATTTCATCATCCCAACTGACAAATCTTTTCAGAGGGGTAGGTCAACCACCAACCAGAGACTTTTTGGATGCTTGAAGTTGAAATAAGTTGAAGGATCAGTATAACACTCAAACATACACTTCCTGATTTTGAACTGGTGTTTCATGAGATTCTGCCTCACTTGACAATGGTGTACTCAGTGTACTCTCACAATTTGCCAGGTCTACTATTGTCCATATACTGCAGACTATGTATGTGTATACATATATATATATTAATATATTGTTTCCATGGATCTCCCTTTCAACACATCCATTTGATTCTGCACAGGACTTCCTGAGGTATAGCTGATGTCACCATATCCACGACGACACACTTGGGTAGGAGATCCAGTGGCCCACAGAGAATCAGTTTTTCATGTGATGGAGATCTAGTGGAACTTTGTCATCCACAGATATGCCCCAAAACATTTAATTACATGGTCTTGTCCGAAAACATTGTACCCAATCGATATTCCATTTCCCCACGAAGATGGCAATCGTCGGGGAAAGATTTAGGGGCTGTCAGTCACCATCAACCCTTTTGTAAGCGGCAACCATTAAAAACACTGAAAAAAAGTTGGGGCGAGTACATGTGGGGGGGGCACCCCTGTGATATCGATGATCACGACTGATCATGTTTGCTGCCATATCACCCAGACCAGATTTTGGCTGGTATATTTCCATATATTTCCCTACACTAGTGAAGCTTCAGTGGGTGATCCGTCTCATGCTTCCGGACTGGCGGAGAACACCGCTGATCCTCAGCCACGGCACTAGCTTCGGAAACCTGAGGTGGGTAACCGGTACGAGTTAGTTCTAATATGTTCTAGTATCTTCGAACCCCCGAGAACTGGATGTAGATTGACATTATGCAGGAAACCTTATATATATATATATATACATATAATATATACAGCCCGAGCGCTGGTTAAGAATCCGAAAGCTTGAGGCCCAGGGTCCCTCAAATTCTTATTTTTAAATTCAGGCAAATTTACATCACAACAGGCTGAGGGTCCCTCAAATTCTTGAGGCATTCTTAGTATTGTATTGCAGGCATCTGCATAATTTGGAGCAAGCTTAAACGAAAGTATGTCTTCAAAATCGAGCTACAGCACGATTTTGCGTTATACCGGGGTTTTGGCCGCGCTGGGCTCTGTCGTGGCCGGAATCCTGCATAGCTGTTCCGGCTACGCTGGTTTGCGGCCTTGGTTGCTTGCAGCGGCGCCGTCACGGCGCCAGGAAAACGCAAAAACGCACGTAGATCGACGATCTACGCGCGATTTTGCGTTATACCGGGGTTTTGGCGGCGCTGGGCTCTGTCGTGGCCAGAATCCTGCATAGCTGTTCCGGCTACGCTGGTGGGCGGCCTTGGTTGCTTGCAGCGGCGCCACGGCGCCAGGAAAACGCAAAAACGCGCATAGATCGACGATCTACGCGCGATTTTGCGTTATACCGGGGTTTTGGCCGCGCTGGGCTCTGTCGTGGCCAGAATCCTGCATAGCTGTTCCGGCTACGCTGGTTTGCGGCCTTGGTTGCTTGCAGCGACGCCACGGCGCCAGGAAAACGCAAAAACGCGCGTAGATCGACGATCTACGCACGGTTTTGCGTTATACCGGGGTTTTGGCCGCGCTGGGCTCTGTCGTGGCCGGAATCCTGCATAGCTGTTCCGGCTTCGCTGGTTTCCGGCCTTGGTTGCTTGCAGCGGCGCCCACTGGAGAGGCCATAAAGGCTCGGGACCGCCGGGCAACCCCGGCGGCAGCGGCTCGGCGGTTTATCCAGCGGACAAAAGTTCAGCGCCCGGGCGCCGCAGCCGCGCCAAGCCTCGATTCTCCCCCGGCGCGCCTTCACAGGCTTGGGCTTGACGTTTTTTTTGCTTGAAGGAAGCGAGTCATCACACGGTCCGTGTAGCAAGTCACGCTCGTGGTCATGCTTGGCATTCGTTTTACTATTTGATATTTTCTATTCTTGCAATGCGCTTGCCAAGCAGACTTGACAAGAGGCATGCGAACATATGATTTTGTAGATCCTGGGAAAAAAAGCTTTGTTTTTTTGCTAAGCCAGGCTTGTCTGAGTTTCGTGCGGTTAGTGCGCAAAAAGAACGTTTTGGTCTCCAGTACAAGGGCTCACGCCTAAAAAATAAACGCAAAAAGGAGAATTTCAAACCTCACGTATAAGCAATAATTTAAGAATTTGGCAGTCCTATTCCAGGGCCCCTCAAATTCTTAACGTACTATGTGTTCTGTATAGCTGAAAATATGTAGCCCGCCTTGGATTCGAGCCCCTCAAAATCTTATACAGTGATTTCTTGTACAGCACTCAAGCTGTATATATATATATATACATATACACATGGTTGTATAATTATATAGATACGTTGATAAATGATACATACTATACATGATTTCTAATATATTACCCCCCATGGGTTTCTTAGAACTTGTCCAGACTTGAATATACCTCGCAGTTATGAAAAGGCGCCGTAAAGCCGTACATCTTCGCAGGGTTTATCCATGGGTACTATAGTACGCCCAACTGGCGGATCACAGCCAATCCAATGGCGATTTTGGAGGTAGCTAAATTGGAGGCAGCTATCTATTTTATAAGTAAAGCCTAACTTTCAGGGAATCTGGCCAAAATATGGCCAAAAATTCTGGCACAAGAATGGCACAGTGAACATCAGTGAACATCAGTGAACCATTCTTTTGCGGCTTCTTTTTTATGTTCGAGTCCGTCCCATTCCAAGGTGAAAGCCTGTCAATGTTTCTTGCCTTCGCTCTGTTGGGCCATGGTACTGCTGGGAGTTTTCATGACCATGGGAGCACTGATCATGGGCACCTCGGCGCCGAGAGTTGGAATGGTGTATGTACATATGTACATAGATATACACATGTATGTATTATTACGTGTTATATATATATAACATATATATTTATATGTATGCATATAGATGTATATATAGTATGTATATATATGTATACATATATATATCATATATATATATATGCATTGTTTATATATATATACATCCATACCTGCAAAAAATGATGATCCGTACACATGGCGGTGCTACTGGGAGAATATGATTCACCAGGATAACCATGGATGAACTACCAAACTCCTAAAAATCACGAAGAATATTCTGGATTTTCAAGTTCCGCGGGCGGTTTTTTTGGTGCCAGGGTATTTGATCTCAGATCAGCATCGGCATGCCACGAAATATGGTTACATTATGTTACACTGCCATATTTGTACCAAGACCAGGTATCTTAGCACACATGACGAAACATGGAAACAGATCAGCCAAAAAGCCGGGCAGCAGATATTTTTAATGACCTCAATAGACGTCGAATCACGGGGAATCATCCCCATAATTCAGCGGGATAAATCCACCTGTTGGATCCTGTGCTGAAGAACTAAGGCAATTTGCTACAAAGCTTCCTCACGGACGAAACTTAGCTGTGGATCATCTCAGTGTGTGTGGCACCATTTTTATGGGCGGCATCAAATGCATCAACTGGGGCTACTGTGAATTAATCTAGCTTGGGAATTGTTGTATTTGATTTTTTGTTTACTGTATGTATGTTCTTGACATCTTTGTTTCTTTTTTTAGTATAAACAAAGAGCGACAAACGTGTTAGATGATTCTTGTGCATGTCTCCAAGCCGAACCCATATCATCCCAGTTCCATGCATGGATGTATCAACATCTACTGTACCTCTAGCACAAGGCAAGTTTTCAGGCCTGCAAGTAACTCGACCATACATAGATGACCTGCCTTGTTTCATAGACAGATACATGTAGAGAAGCTACATCTGGCATGGAAAATTGGTGGATACCCATGGTAGCTAGATGTGCACCCAGTTACCAAGTGGGTAATATCAATATGAGAATCAAGATACCGTGTTTTGTGAATGTTTTTTTCTCCCCCAGTAGTATTTCATGGGTTATGGGGAGGGTTCCATTCAGTCATGGTTCTACCCCCAGTCATCCAGTCATGGTGCCGACCACGACTCGTATTGTTCAAGCCATGGTGACTGGGGATCTCCAATGACCGACTGGGATGCCCATAGCTTCTCAGGAAACTGCGAACTTCGAAGATCGGGAGTGGATTTGGATGAGTAGCTTGGGTGACGAAGGACTAGACCTAATCTGGCTGGTGGTTTGGAACATGAATTTTATGATTTTCCATATATTGGGAATAATCATCCCAACTGACTAATATTTTTCAGAGGGGTTGAAACCACCAACCAGTAATTGCATGAATTGAAGGCATGAACTACTATAATAGCATTTAATAGGAATCAGTTGTTTTTTGTTCAACCAGTTTAAAAAAATAAAAATAAGTGGGAAAATGAGGGATACCCCCAAGTTATGGCATGTTACTATGGGGAAAGCCGGGGAAAGCCGGGGAAAGCTATGATAAACCATCAAATTTTGGGCTTCATAAGAGGAGTTGTTGCTCAACATGGTTTCGGCGAAAGTTTGACATGAAGTTCGCAGAAGACTTGCGAAAGATTTTGTTTATTCGCGAAGAATGGCCGTTCCCGGATAAAGGAATTTTGATCAACCATCATATATATATATACATATCCATTGGGTATCCATGGCAGACGAAGCCTCAAAAGGCAGTACAGTGGCTGAGCCAGCAACCTGACAAATGCTGCTCCTGACATGGTGCGACAAACCGTAAGCAAAGATAACATGACATAGCCTTTGGTAATCAAACTCGGCTTGCTGGGGAATATCCTATAATTGGAGGTTTTAGTGGGAAAATCATCTACAAATTGGTGATTTTCTGATTACCGGAGGGTATATTGTACTGTACAACATTCAACAATACTGGTACTGTGCTGTGCATCGGATGATGTGCTAATGATTTGGAATGATGATAATGTGGTTTTGCAATGTGCTGTATCTGTTATTTTTTCAAAAGATGTTACAGTATATTGCAAATCCGACAGTGCCAACAATGAGAATCTGCGGTAAACTGCCAAAGAAACGGACGAAACGGAGATCTATATACTTCCTAGTACTCCCTGCATCGCCCTGGGAATCCAAATCTCTGGAAGAATCTGGTGTTGTTGTTGATGAATGGTGCACAAAAGCCCCATAATAAACCTCCACTTCCCCACTTCGTGTTGATGATTTGTTCAATACTGTGTATAGCGGCGTTTTAAACTGACCAATACGTGGTCAAGACAAAGACACACAACACAACGAGGCTGATTCGTACCACTGAGGCTGATATGTCCGTAGTCAACTTTGGGACTTAGGACATTGACTCGCAAAGTATCCACTTGGATATGTTCTGACAGAAAAGGAGTTGAGGCCCAACTGAGAAATTCAGGTCAAACAACTGTATATAGGTGATTATGTGATTTGATGATATGTATGCCAGTGATTCACACACACACCACATGTTGATTCCATCCAAACATATAAAAAAGTTTGTTTTAGTTCATATATCTACATACCACGAAAGAAGCCAGTCATGTAGGTCAACATCCCCAACATTCATGGTATGGGTGTGACATGGTGTGACAATGGGCATTAAGAAAAAATCCCACTCACCAATGATCCTTGAAAACAACATGTGTGGCAATTTCTTTGAAGTCCGAGCTTCTGTTGGACTTTGTTCAAGTTCCTTTTTTTCATGAGACCCCAATCCCAAATGAAATGTGAGGAAGATCTGCAAGAAACCATGGGTTTTTGCATGCATTTCTTCACAGAGATGCAAGGATATGGCACCGCCTATCGCGCCACCTACACTCTCTACGAGAACCTTGGCGAAAGTAAGAGTTTGCTATGGAACGTGATCAATTTGTAGTGGATTTACCTTTGAAAAATGCTGATTTTCCATAGCTCTGTTAAATTAGCAGAAGGTAATACAGTAAGTTATATGTTTATGTTTTAGGCGGTTCAGCTTTTGCGATCCAATCTGATCCACTACTGAATGGGACGGTACTGAACAGTGGAGTCATTCAACTCGCCAAAGGATACGCATCTTTGACCCAAGCCTAGCTCACTCACTGTTGTGAACCCGCTAGATCATGCCAGCTGTTCAACAACATGCGCATTCATTTCATGCCCCTAACATTGGACACCTCCTAAATGTACCGAAATTTGCGCAACCGGGTACTAAACCATGATTTCTGGGATGTGTTTAATATTGGGGAAGGGATGATCGTATATATATATATACATATATATATAAATATATACACAGTATTACACACTATTCATCATTTGTTTTTAATATTATATATATACATATATATATGTGTGTATTATGGATCTATATAGATATACACATTCATAATATATATATATAGCGACTCTGCTCAACTCACTTGCACTTTGAGAACCAATACGTCTGTCAATCAATCCATCAGTTCAGTGTAGGCACTGTTCGTGCATGATGTTGGGAGGGGTACTGTACTTGGATTACGTTCACAGCGCCAAGGATTACGTTTGCTGGCAATTGGTATCTTGGCCTGACACGATTGGCTGGCTGAGTTTTCCATGTAATTCCCGGTAGACCCATCAACCTAATGGTAAGAACTATTACTGTATCCGTTTCTGGTGGCAATTGGGATGGTGTATGATTGGTTGTACCACATGTCGATACATTTCATGGTTGTCCCTGTTCAAACCTACACATTCTACACATTCGTATTATGCGATCGTTTTCCCAGCGGTCCAGCCACGACTTGGACCCATCATTTCGGATGGTTATCCATTGGCTAGCCATTGCACTGACGACTTGTAAGCAATGACAGTTTTTGTTTGGTTTGAATCATGCCATATTGTGCACATGTTTCATTACCATATGTAAGTCATCAAATTGTTTGGAGACTCTTCTGAGGAAAATGGATTGTTTATTCCTTGTAAGTCACCAAGTTGTCAAAGTCTCATCTCATCAAATATTCAGCAGTAGTTTTGGATTTCAGGAATTATATAAATGAATGGAAAGGGACATTGACATTTCTTGGCCGGGGATCTCAAAGTTCTGTTTGGTTCCTCGGTGTTCCGTGGCCTTAGCATGGTTGTGATATTGTTTTGTTTGACATGTTTCAGTAGCACCATGGATAATCTGGGGAGTTAGGACATCTTAGGACCCTACCTTTCTTGAAAAAACATGGGATCCGGTTGGGGTCTTATCTCACCGGCCGAGGCCTACCAACGCCCGTCCTGTGTTGGAAAAAGTTAGCCATCTTTTTGTGATCTTCTTTGTGTATCTTGGAGAACCGTTGAGTCGTTCTGGTGCTTGCAGTTCATGGAGACTCAACCCCAGGCGACCCCAGAATCGTTGGGCGAAGAGGGCTAGGGCGAATCTGATATAACACTATATAACCACCAACAACTAGACTTTTTCATATTACCGTACCATTCATTACCATCATTACCCATCCATTGTTGGCACCGGAATGGGGAATGGGTTGAATGGGTTGAATCCCCATGAGAAGTCTAGGTTTTCCCGCGTCGCTTTTTGTTTGATTGTCTGATTAAATCCCAGGAGGGGGTTCATATTGAATCGTTACATGGTTGAATTACATCATGGTATAAGTATCAAGACATAGATACACATAGAATGAGAGGGAAATGTATACTCAAATAGAGGCAGCGGTTTCCATTACAGTAAATTTTCCAATGTTGGTGTTGGTGGTAAGCGTGATTTCACGGCCTCAGGAGAAACAGGAGAGACCTCCCGGGCTCGCAAAAAATAAAGCGAAACAACAGGCGCAAATGTATGTTTAAAAGAGTTAGGCACCGCATGTTGATTTAGTCGCGGGCACCCTAAACCATTGTTCTATGCCGGTTGTATTGCTATAGTTATACATCAAAATTGTCAGTCTCCAACAAAAATAATTCTTCGATACTAAGCATTCCAAGTTTTGTGGGTCCATGGATACTTGTACTTACCACGAACTGGGATAGTTGAATGTCTTAGGCATAAACATGTGTTAGGATGTGTTAGGATGTTTTGGGTACCCTTTTCAATATCCCTCAAATCCTCAAGCTGGGTATGTGCGTGGATAATTGGGCTTGCCGCATTACAATACCATCAATCGGTATATTCATCTACAAGTCCTACGTTCCAGGACTTTCCTGCGGCGCAGGGCTATGATTGGAGTGGGGATGGAGAATTCTTCCGAATGGTACCCTCCGGTGGCATGAAACATGTCCAGCTGGGAAATCCTTAACTGGAGTTTATAGCTAGGAAAATAAGATGTAAAGTAAATGAGATATTTTCCATTTGATTACCGGAGGGTAACATATTGACAATTCAAGCCTGGTGAACAAAGATAATGGAAACCAAGCAGTTAGTGAACCTGGCCCACCTCAAGACGATATGGATGGCCGAACTACCTGCAAGGTATCAAAGCAGTGGACGCATTACCATTTTGAGCCCAGACTTTGTGAATTAGATTGAGACAGACAGACATAGTAATACATACAGCATCTTCACTGACGAAACTTCTGTGAACTAACATGTGAACGAGTGGGCAAATATCTCGATGGACTCAACTTCAGCCACTGCATGGTGATGTCACCAGAGGTCAAACTATGTCAAACTGCATGGTGCTGATCAGATTGTACGCTTTGACAACCGTATTGCGGAGTGCAGGGTTGGAACCGTCCATTCAAAACACCATAGAAACAGCATGGTTGTGGTCGGAATCACATCGTGGAACAGGCGCCAGATGCGCATGTCCTGGGGAGAAAGCGAGGCTTCACCATGTTCGACCCTGGGTGCCCTTGAGTAAGTTCGCAGCAAACTTACGTTGCCAGACTGGCCGATCAACGTCGGCTTACCCAACAATTGGTCTTCAAATGCGGCAGCCATAGAGGACAAGCATTAAGTCTAAGCGGAACCTATCGCAGCGAAGCATTTGCAAGCGACATGGTATTACAAAGTCATGAACGGCGACATGGTCTTGCTTTTCTTTCCAGACTGCCAGTCGTATCTCCCACAAAAGGCATCGAAAGGCTACGTTCGGGCAGAAACTCTTTATCAGGAAGTTCCCTTCGGTGTTCAAGACGTTGTTTTTTTTGCTTGGATCGCAGCACAAAAGGTTCCCAACCACCACCACCACAACAACAACGACAATAACAACAACAACAACAACAACAACAACAACAACAACAACAACAACAACACCAACAGCACCAGCACCAGCAGCAGCACCAGCACCAGCACCAGCACCAGCACCAGCACCACAACAACAACACCGACCACAACCACAACACCAACCACAACACCAACCACAACACCAACCACAACACCAACCACAACACCAACCACAACACCAACCACAACACCAACCACAACACCAACCACCACCACCACCACCACCAGCAACAACAACAACAAACTACAAACTACAAACTACTACTACTACTACTACTACTACTAGTACTACTACTACTACTACTACTACTCCTCCTACTCCTACTCCTACTCCTACTCCTACTACTCCTTCTGCTACTACTACTACTACTACTACTAGTACTACTACTACTACTACTACTACCACTACTACCACTACTACCACTACTACCACTACTACCACTACTAACTACTAACTACTAACTACTAACTACTACCTACTACCTACTACCTACTACCTACTACCTACTACCTACTACCTACTACCTACTACCTACTACCTACTACCTACTACCTACTACCTACTACCTACTACTTCTACTACTACTACTACTTCTACTACTACTACTACTACTATTTACTTCTACTACTACTACTACTTCTATTTACTACTACTACTACTACTGCTACTACTACTACTACTAGTATTTACTAGTATTTACTACTACTACTACTACTACTACTACTACTACTACTACTACTTCTATTTACTACTACTACTACTTCTATTTACTACTACTACTACTACTACTCCTACTACTACTCCTACTACTACTACTACTACTACTACTACTACCACCACTACTACTACCACTACCACTACCACTACCATTACCACTACCACTACCACTACCATTACCACTACCACTAGCACTACCACTACCACTACGGCGACGACGACGACGACGACTACTACTACATACTACTACTATTACTACATACTACTACTCCTTTTGCTGCTACTATTACTACTACTGGTACTACTGTTAATACCGTAAATATTACTATTACTTCTACTTTCATCTCTAGTATCTAGTTTCACTTTCGCGACTACTATATTACTAGTCCGATTACTAATGCCACTACTGTCGCTTTTTCTTTGACATATGACTATTACGTTCTGTTTTACTACTTCTGCTTTGATTACGTTTACTATTATCATAACGATTGCTAAAACCATTGCTTTTACCGGCTTTTACCTTTACTCTTACTATTACTGTGACGACGATGACGACCACGAATCCTATTGCGAATACTACTGCAAATACTACTATGAGTGCTACTACGAATACTATTTTACGAATACTACTACTATACGAAGACTTCTACTTCTACTGTACTACTACTTCTGCTTTGACTACATCTACGACTACGGCTACTACTGCTACTGCTACTGCTTTTTCTACAGCTACTACTACAACTACACAACCATTGCAACTACAACAATGAACAGCAACTACATAACTACACAATCGCTACCAACACAATGGTTTGCAAGAAAGACCGCAGTTACAACAACTACAGGTACAAATCTCATAGACACTTCGGGAAAAGTGGTTCAGTATTGTACTTCGTGGGATATGTTCCACGGGGCGTCATGTGAATAGTACCACTGCAAGCGAGCCTCGATACCATTATATTCTGTGGCCGGTGGTCGACAAACATTCCTATCTTTTGTTTGTTTGTTTATTTGTTTCCATTCTCTGCTCCAGCCTTTGGAAACGATGTTGGTGGCCAAGGCTTTACGTCACAGTGATTGCCTTTGCTGTGATCAGGGTGATCAGCGCTGTGTTCTTAAAGGCAGGATCAAAAGCACAGGTGATGAAATGAATGTTTGAGGCATTCTGTGATTTTGTCTTGCATGCACTGGGTTGGCGGCATCCTCGGCCTCGGCACTTTCAAGTAAAAGGTTTGTCCAGCATGAAAGGCATCGGCCGCAGACTGATTGTAGATCGTGCATCGTTTTTGCAGTTGATGTGTTTTCTCAGTGGTTGAGGGCCATAGGATTTCGTTGAAAGAATGAACTCCATGACGACACCATCCCGGACCATACAGTATCTACATAGTTGCGAATTGTCTGGACCAATGACAACGCCATATATCCGTACCATGCCTACATACTTAGCTGCCAGAATGTAGACTGTAACGATGTTCGCTACTCAGCAGCCCGGCGCCTTGCCAGGATACACTTGATGCGGCGCAAAATGATGCCGAGCATCTGGTGGTGGATAGATTACGGAAAAAAGCCGAATATGTGGAAAAGTTCCTTGGTCCAGGAATCCAGTGCAAACGGTGGGCCTGATCCGAAATTTCAATCTCAATGGGGGCACGCAAATACAAAATTAGATTTGTTTGTTTGTTTGGTTCATCTTTAGTGAGCCAGACAGACAATTCCCACAGAAACCATATGTCATTTCTAGTAGATTTTTCTGGTGAAAAATCGTGCACATGCTTGGGAGGCTGCACGTTTGGATTTGGCTTGGAGGTGCTCACATTTTCTTATTTGGAAACAGTTCAAAATTCAGGATTTCAGACCCCGGATTCTTTGACCACGCAGAGCAATTCTCTTCCGAGCAGTTCGCGGAATGTACATTATCAGCATTCGTAAGATGACCACCCGAAACTCGCACACCACAAGAACAGATCCAGTACTGTAGGAGTTCCATAAGGCGTTTTTTTTTGCACATGCAGGGCTGATCGGCTTTTCCAATCCAACTTCAGCCATGTCTCCAAGGTTGGAGCGCATCTTCCGTGCCATTGATGATTCCGGCGATGGAATTATCACAGAGGTGCCAGGGTTGGGTTGCCCACTTGCGGCTGACAGTTTTGACGGAGAATAGGACTAGTTGACTGCCGCTGGCAAGGCGGGCTGTACCTGTGCAAAATTGCTGTTTCTGGTGGAACAACTGAAAAACAACAGGGAACAAGAATCGCATTGTATGAGTCCTACTTTGGAAAGCACGTCCAGCATGAGCCATTGTGAAGAAAAATGTGACACAGTAGATTTAGGTATCCGATTTTCAAGTTCAAGTGGTCAAAGGCCGTCTGCAAGAACAGAACTTTTGATTGTGGCCTTCAATTTACCCGTACATGCGGTTAAGAAAAACGACTGTGGTTGTATTTTTCGCGTCAATGTCTCAATATTTTGGGATAAATCGAGACATAGATTAAAAGATCACTACGTTAGTGAAATAAAGGTGTTTGTCCATCCCTATACTTTGTGATATTGCACTAAGTGAGCATTGTTTCCTGGGAGGGTTTCTTCCTTTCCATCCCTGTGTTCGCTACATAAGCGATGCTGGAACCAACCTCAACCTTAACATGAAGTTCTTGTAGTTTTTGAGGAAATCACGGAACTTGTGTTAACATATGTATGCTTAGGTCGCAACTTGTTATTCAAAACTCAGGTTACAGTTACAACAACTTGGGTAACTTGCAGTTTGGCGACTATTTTGGGGAAGTACCAAGCAACTCTTGGGAACATGTTTCTGACCTGCAATGAGCCATTTTGCCTTGCAGACTGCGTGCCTTTCACAGCAACATGGTGACAGTTTGATCTTTCAAGTTTTCCGGGTTGGTAGGCGTGTTTTGGGCAGCAAAGACAAATAGAGGAGAGTCTTTACAGTACTGCTTTCAATCATTTTGGTTGCGTCTGTTTTGCTGCAAGGGCAGACATGTACCCGAGCAGTTTACCATTGCGGCAATGAAAAATTTCAGTCACAGTCTAGCGCGCCTGTTCTGAGAAAACACGAACGCGGTTGCAAAAGGTGCTGTTCTTTTTTCACATTTTGGAAGCAGCTTGCGTAGGGTACATGATGGCACTGTGATGGCGCTGTTTTCTTTGAGACACATCCGTGTTGCTGGTTGTCGCTGGAAATTCAGCCAAATTCTTACCTGTTTGAAGTGAAAACACAGCCGTATATCTACCTCCATCTTCGTTTTCAGCAATGAAAACACACAGATGCGTTTCCCACAGTCAGGCTGCTTTCCTAGAAACACCACACTGATTCCGCCGACAAGCGACATTTTCGATTTCTTGACAGAAACCGTATATAGAATTTACTTGTTTTATTTACTGTGCACCATTCCCATTCCTGCCTACCAACCAACGGGCTTACCACAGCGTAAGTTAGGATAACGCAAACCCACATCTTGTACAAAATGATTTGTAAGCTTGTCCACCCGGTTGAGCTGTGTACTTTGCGCTGTGCCCCACGGGCTTGCATTTACATCCTCTCGGTGGCTTGATTTCGCACATTAGCCACATTCCTAGGCAAAAAACAGCATTCGACCCCAACATTTTCAAAATGAGTCTTTAAAGGCTTCAAGTCAAAAAGGACATTATTGTCAATAAGGTCAATGCGGGGAAGTTATCTTCCACAGACAGTTCAACATCTTGACTGAATCTTCAACATGAAATCAAGATTTGCTTTTATTGCTGAATCTTCAACATGAAATCCAGATTCGTTTTTATCAGAGTTCCGCCCATGCTGAGTCAACCTTTAAAAACAATTGCGCAGTAAAGGAAGTTATAACTTGGGGGCTGTGCCTACAAAGGTCATGTCAGTGTTTTGTTGGTATAAGTACATGTGCCAAGCCACATCTGGAGCCATCCGCCTGCTGAATCATACCCTTTCTTTCGTTTTTGTTGATTCCCTTCTTTGCGCGCTTATCGTTCCTATGGGGTGCTGCCGTGCTGCCACATTAATCGCAAAGTCAATGAAAAAATACTGACCCAATATGCTGCATTGCAAAACTGAGGCGAGAATGAACGAGATCCTGTCGAACGACAAGATGCTCGCTACCACTGCATGTCCGACCAAGAGAGCTAACCCATGTGAAGCCCAATTTACTGCTGGGGTATACACTGAAGGGTTGTGCCTCAACATGATCAACAGTTTTTCATCCAGTTACAAGCCATTCTCCATGGTTCCGGGACATAATTGACCAACAGGGGCCCAAGGATGTCGTGCAGCTAGGCCGCTATATAGGCGTCGGCAGCGTTACACACTAAGAAAGGTCGACTTTTCTGGACATTCCCTGCATTTTTTATTTCCCGAAATCTACAAGAATTGAACTTTTTTCCCCAAACAGTGTGGCCACACTTGTGGTTCTTACGGTAAGGGCTCAGGCCTGGTGCTAATTCGAGGTGGTCTCATACGCGCGTGCCGTTTCTGACGACCTTTGCAGCACAAAAGCTCCTTCAACTTCCGTTTTTGACGGAAGTCTCGCACAAAATGGTGTCCCCGAGGCCCGAGACCTCTCGCGCAATCCTCTCATCACTGAGCCTCTGAGATCGCTCTCATATTGTGGTGCGGTGCGAATTTTGCGATCGCTCGCGCGACCTTCTCATCACTGTAACGCGTCCAAAATTTTGAGATCGCTCGCGCAGCCCTCTCGGCACTTTGGGCGTGTCAGATCGCTCTCGTCGTGGCACGGTGCTCATTCGTAGTCAAGGAGTTCTTGTGCAGAGTTTTTTTTATAGAGAGCTTGCGCAGAGATCTTGCCGCGGAGATGTCTCATACAGATCTTGTACACAGAGCTCTTGTAGAGATCTTGTACAGAGACATTGCATAGAGATCTGTTGAGACCTTGCCAAGAGGTATCTTACAGAGATCTTGCCAAGAGACCTCTAAAAGGGAGCGTGTAGAAAATCTTACGAAGAGACCTCCTATAGAGATCTGTCGCAGAGATCTTTCAAAGAGATCTCTTACATTTATGAAAATCTTGCGGCCTCTAGCTGAGGGAAGTTGAAATAGTAAGTTTTTAAAAAACATTTTTATCTACATGTTTGATTAAATGATTGTTTTTCATTGCCAAGATGGATTATCATGTAGAGTTTCATTGGGATTTTCATGTGACCTCATGGCATGTATCTTGTTCATTAGCAATGCTTGCCTTGCTCCTCAGCCAAAATGTCTTTGAAAAATGGTGCGGTGCTTTTTTGCAAAAGAAACCAGTTGAATGTAACTGTAAACACAAACCGGAAACAAACACAAGACAACATAACGTGACACTAGGACACAATGAACAGGAAACACATCCAAAACCGCATGAAACATGAACATGTTTGACAAAAAAATGAAACATGAAAACCGAAAACAAAAAGAAACGGTGGACAAAAAAGGCTGACGACGTGAAAATGCAAATGCGATAAAAGGAAAACCAAAATCCACATGAAAAACATGAAAAGCAAAACGAAAAACAAAATGACATTTTGGCTGAGGAGCAAAGCAAGCATTGCTAATGAACAAGATACATGCCATGAAGCCACATGAAAACCCAATGAAAATCTCAATGAAAATCCATGTTGGCAATGACAAACGATATCTTTGTGAAAGAATATAAATCAAAATGAACAAATAAGACTATAATTAAAACCTTGACTTCCAGCTTAAGACTGCCCAAGAAAGACGTAACCTTACATAGATCTTGTACAGAGACCTGGTGAAGAGAACAGAGATCTTACTCAGAGATCTCCTTTAGAGCGCTTAACCAGAGATCTTACTTTCAGATCTCTTAAAGAGATCTTTTTTGTGGAGATCTCTTTTAGACACCTTGTACAGATAGCCTTACAAAGGGATCTTGTACAGCAGCTTCTAGGGAGAACCTGCCAAGGAGATCTTGCGCACGATCTTCTACAGAGATCTTCACAAAGGGAACTTGCAGAATCTAACCTGGCATCTCTTCTTCCAGAGACCACCTTGAATGAACACAATGCTTTCACTACAAGGGCCGCTCTTGTCCTGCAAGCTTGGAGCCACTGAATTTTGTGTCCTGTCTGTCCACCTTTCTCTTTAGAAACCTAACCTCACACTCTTTGGGTTCCCTTGCTGGGATAACGCGACGGTTTTCAATCAGATAGCTGCTTGGTGCTTATTTATATTCCAATATATCCTAAGATCAGCCAATGGTTTTGCGGCACTTGTCTAGGAAACACGCGTTTAAATTTTCCAATTACTGATGAGAAAGGGACACTTTTGCGCCATGCAAAGGCCTGCTTGCCTTTGTGCTGCTGTTTCCTAGTTGCTTCCGAAAGATACAACTAAAAGTGCTTCTTGCATCGGTCTGTAAAGTTTAATTTTTCCTGCCAGATTTGTTTTCTTGTTTGTCGATCAATGTCCCATCTCCTATTTTCGCTTCTCTGTTCGTCAACTTGTTGATTCCTTTTCTTCGCTTGGATGCTGTGGCCTATCCATCAGCTGCCCCGCATTCGGTGCACCATATATGTGTGTGCGCGCGCACAATCTGCTCGAAACGCACGCGAAAAAATGAAAGTTGGAATTGCGGTACGATTTAAGCTGACTGCTACTTTGAAATCGAAATATTTCCCCATGTTTGGGATGAATGGGAAATTTCAGGAGATTTGGATTCTCCAAGTCATGTCAAGGGCGTTCAGCGGCCCTCTACCTGTAGAGAGCAGGATTCTCTCCTGACCCCAACAAAAGGATGGAATGCCAACCATGAGAATTTATGGGTCCATTCGGGTGTTTTGAAAAGCAAGGCACCCCGAATATCAACATTTTACTATTATATTTGCGGCACCCCAAGAGTAGCACTTCCCTGGATCGCATCTCCCTCGCTATGGCCACCTGGATGGTTTCATACTGGCTTTGCCTTGCCAAAAATGCAGCGGGAATATGTTTTTATTATGTTACTACATATTGTTACCCGGACCACCGGAACAAATGAGGGGCGCGTATAGCAAGATTGGTTTGATTAGCGCTGCATCGCAAACTTAGAGCCATAGGTCCCCGACGTTTGGTGGACACTTTGTGTTGTGACCATTTCAACTTGTAAGGGATGCACACGAAGTCAGACCAAGGATCGCGGCTTATTTCCAGACTTTGGATCTGGATGTGCACGAGGCCTGGAATGTGATGGTTGGGTGCCTGGTGAGGAATACCTGCAACGATACAAGCCCAAGCAAAGGAGGGCCATCTCACCCATGCACCCTGCTTGTTGTAAGTGGGTCAGGCACAGATAGTCATGAAAGTACATCAGTCGCCACCTTGCCTCCCACACCATGTGTTCTCTCGCTTCCAATGACGGAAAAGTCCACGAGATCGCAAGTTATATGTTGATCCAATAGCTGTACACGCGCCGCGGCAGGCATGATCTGGTCAAACAAAAGCGCTCACCATCCATGCCCGCGCGACGAAACCCCAAATAGATTCAGGCTTGCACGGCGCTGGCCCTACCATGGTCATGGCTGCCTGCAAGGCAAGCAGAATCACTGCTTCTGTAACAGCGACAGACTCATGGCGCTGCTTTACCAAGCGCGGGGGCCTTTCAATCTTTGCACTTCGATTTCTCGACATCTCAAGCATGGGGCTGTCTCTCATCCACCTTTCTTGAGCCCTCTGCTCGCAATACCCATCGTTTCAATATGTTCACACGGGTCGAGTACGACTTGACGCCCATTAATTTGGTCATCACACTGATCACACTGTTACTGTTACAGTTTACCTTTGCCAGAACTTGGCATGCGAGGGCCCATGGCCATATGTCTGTGAATGCATGAATGTGGTGGTTAAGGTTCTCAGGCAATTGATTGTCACGGCACTGCGTTTTTGTGTCCCCCATCACGTTTAAGTTGTTTTTGGCCGGATTGGATCGAACAAGACTTGAATTTCCCAATTGCACGCCACTGTCCAGGGTGCTGCGCTCTTCCACTTGTTGGACAACGGGGATGGTGAGGACGGGGCTACTGCTTGCATTGTAACAAAAAAACCTTCCAAGATTTGGATGATCACTGTTTTGACTGGACACAACGTCGATGTTTATGGGGACGCTTGGTTGCCATAAGAAAGCCTTGAAACTAGAAACGCTAGATGCACCCAGGTCATCCCAGGTCCGTGTCTGCTGTGCCGGCCTTCAGGTAACTTTAGACGAGTTTATTGATGGAATCATGCGGTGCAAAGGGCCTGCGCGGGCAATCGACCAGGCGGGGGCGGATTGCATATTGGACTTGACTTGCCTGTGTTGTATCGCATGGTTAGGTTTCGTAACAAAGTGATTTGAATCAATGTGCGTGCTGATCATTTTCACCATACTTGGCTAGCGATCAACCATCTTGATGAAGCTAATTACTTGGGCTGTCGGTGGCTGACATGACTTTTTGTCTGATTGAAATGAACACGTTTGCCTCTACAGGCCGTGGTACACGCTTTGTTTTCCATGGATGAAGACGACATAGCAGCAGAAAAAACTTTTGGGCAAGAGTCTTCAACTCAAGCAGATAGAACAGGACGTAAAACCAATTGTTTCCCGCGTAACATCTGTGACTTCAAATTTGGCAGCTGGCCAGGCGGGAATGGAACCATCATCGTGTGTTAATCCGTTGTTTAACGTATTTTATCGACTTGCCTCCAATGGTTTTTATGTCTCACCATTCTTGTAAGGAAATGTGGTTTAGATGTGTTTATGCGCAGGCGGCCCATGCTTACATTAATGGATCCGAATCCTCGTGCTGCAAGATTCGCGTTGAAAGTTGAAAGGATGTCAGGGGGCGTGCAACTTTGACCGTCACTAAGGTCACCCCTCATGCATCGAAGTTGATCAAACGTGCGGATAGCAGCTGGAAAACATCAGAAGCAGCAGAAACATGCCAGAACCGCAGTTACAAAGCACAGATTGTAAGCTGGGGTTCTCTATATCGATTTTTTATGGTTTGATGTCAGCTTTGTCCTCCTCCGCCTTCTCCTCTTAACTTCTCATTCTCCTCCTGCGCATCTTCCCCGCGCCGCTCCGCTGCAGCAAGCTCGAAATCTTCCTCCGCCTCACCGGAAGATCGCGAACCTGCGAGCTCGCATCGCCAGACTCGTGGCCAGAAAGCAGCCTCCCACTTGGGGCTTTCCGGACCGGCCGGACCCGAACACTATCGGAAGCTCGCATGCTTTCTAACGCTCGTCGCGGACCCTCACGTCATGCCAGGTAAAATGTCATATAGAATGTCATTTTTTTGGACAGTTCAAAAAAATAATGTCAGCTACATCGCCAGCCGAGGCCATCTAGAGTTCCTCTAAAAACATTGCCAGATCGAACCCAGAATGCCGAAAAAAATGGCAGAGCATTTATCAGATAGCATGTGTATATATATATATAAAGCAGGTAACAGATCAGATCGAATGCCGAATACAAGATCAGATCGAATGCCGAATACAAGATCAGATAGAATGCGGGATAGAATGTCAAATGAAATGTCAGAATACATGTAAGTATGATAAAGGTCAAAGAGATAGATTGCTGATTAAAAAATATTAAAATATATTAAAATGACAAATTGTTTTTCAGATAAAACTTCAGATAAAATGCTGTTTGGCGGGGATCACGCAAAGTAAAGTAATTGTGGTTGACGTCTTCAATATCGAACACGCATTGATCGTGAACGAGCAATCAAACATCATCAAACAGTGAAAGAAAGACAAGGGAAAGGGCGGCGCTTATGCCAAGCCACATTTCAGATCATGTTCCCGCATGTCAGCTTCAATGTGCCACGTGTTCCATTTATTTACCAGCACCGGCAGTGGGTTTGATTTTCCACATGCTCAATTTTTCCACCTGCCACGGAGGTTGCGATGCATGCAGACCTTAAACAGTTGGAAATTTGGCACAATGGGATTGTTTTAGTGATGCTCCGAGTCTTTTAGCTTTGGGTTTGAATTTTGTAAATTGATTTGAGATGGAACCTCGGATATGGGAAGTGGTGTACTACGAAAAGTGATGACGCTCTTTAATCAATAATGACGGTGAAAAAGCGCATGCCACATCCAACCGTGTGACGGCGTTAACCTATTTCTCAATGCAACATGGAATTTAACAGTGGCGCAACCCACATGCTTTTGTTGAACATGTTTTTGAACGTCGCGGTTAAACATCTGTTAAATTTTCCTGATGCGATTTGATTAAGAAAAGCCGCCAGGTGCACTCCAACATTTCCTATGTTCAGTTGTTTTGTTGAAAACATATACCATGCATGTGCGTTTTTGATTTGCATATGGATCTCAACCTAGTTTGCATTCATCGAAGGCTCCACCGTGGGAGAGGCCCATTTCACCCGAATGAAATTAATGAACCTTGAAAACAAATTTTGAACTGAAACATACAGGAGTCGATTTTTTCTGGTTAACCGAAACTCAAGTCTATGATTTCATGATGATTACCGACATATGACAAGTCAAAACCACCCAAAAAGGTCCATGCAGTACCAGCAGTACCGCACAAGGCGGTGGCGGAAGTTTCAAAGATAGACAGCTTAGGAGAAGTGAGTTGTTGTGATGCATGTGTGGCAGAGCGAAGCCATTGATGGACCGAAAGATGTTTGGAGTTGTGCTTTTTGGAGTGGTTGCGGTGGTCACCTCAACCACAACTGCTGAATGTAGTGTGTTGTGGTGTGGTGTAGCTAGTTGTCGCTGTAGCTGTAGTGTAGTGGTAGTTATAGTTGTAGTGTAGTTGAAGTTGAAACTGTAGTTGTAATTGTAGTTGCACTTGTAGCTGTGGTGGTAGTTGTAGTTGTGTAGTTGTAGTTGTAGCGTAGTGCAGTCCAGTGTTAGTGGTAGTTGTTGTAGCTGTAGTGTACTTGAAGTTTTAGTTGGAGTTGTAGTGTTGTGGTAGTCGCATAGCTATCTATCTACCTGTCTATCTATCTACCTTTTTCTATCTGTCGTTTTCTATCTTATTCTACCTATCTATCTATCTTTCTTTTTCTATCTATCTTTTTCTACCTTTTTCTTTCTTATTCTACCTATCTATCTATCTACCTATCTGTCTATCTATCCATCCATCTATCTTTCTAGCTATCTATCTGTCTATCTATCTTTCTTTTTCTGTCTATCTTTTTCTATCTCTTTCTTTCTTATTCTATCTTTCTATCTATCTATCTGTCTATCTATCCATCCATCTATCTATCTATCTACCTATCTATCTACCAATCTATCTATCTATCTTTTTCTTTCTTATTATATCTATATGTTCTTTCTTATTCTCTCTATCTATCTATCTATCTACCTACCTACCTATCTATCTATCTATCTACCTATGTATTTATCTATCGACCAATCTATCTATCTGTCTGTCTGTCTGTCTGTCTGTCTGTCTATCTATCATCCCTCTATCTTTCTAGCTATATATCTGTCTATCTATCTTTCTTTTTCTGTCTATCTTGTTCTATCTCTTTCTTTCTTATTCTATCTTTCTATCTATCTATCTACCTATCTATCTATCTATCTGTCTATCTATCCATCCATCTATCTATCTATCTGTATCTATCCATCCATCTATCTATCTATCCTTTTTTATCTATCCATCTATCTGTCTTTCTTTCTTTCTATCTACCTATCTGTGTACTTCCTCCATCTTTGAAGATGACAACATGAAAAAGGAAGCAATTCAGCGAGACGTCCTCAATTTTCGAACTTGACATCATCAAAAACGAATGGAATGCAGAGCTGACCCCCTCGTACCTCTGCAATTTTCGATTTTTCCAGCCCATGTGTCTAAAATAGTGCGCCTGCCACGAAAAAGTGAGGCCAGGTCATACGAAGTGCTGCACCTGTCACGCAAAATCATCTTAGCAAACCTGAAGATCTGCTGCTCCAAAATGCAACCCGTCTCAGGAAATCAGTGCCCTGACCTCGGAACATGTCTCTTGTATTGCGCCTGCCACGCAAAATGCATCGTTGCAGATCCTCTTCAAATGTCCTACGCCTGCCATCAGTTTTTCAACTGCTGCAAAACCCACACGTTTGACTCACCTTTGACAAAACGGTAACGACATCCTAACTTCAAAAAGTGCTCTGAAAATGTTGTGCTTTGTACATTTTGATTTCGAAAATTGCTTCACGCCACGACGGCGTGCACTTGTTGTTCCAAAAGTGTTCCGAAGCTGGTGTGCTTTGTACATGTTGACTTGGAAGTGTGCTTTGTGCCACAACACCGTGCACTTTTTCGGCATCTCAGCGTCCAAAGTGGTCCGAACCTGTGGTGTTCTTAGCATTTTGACTTGGAAATGTGTTTCGCGCCACATCTTATCTCCCCAGATGGCTCCGCACCCGCCGCTTTAGCAAGCCTACTTTTCAACCCTCCGGGGCCACAAAACATTGGAAAACACAGTGTTTCGCGAATTTTCTACCTTTTCGCGCACCTGCATCTTCTTTCTTCTGACTCTTTCTCTTCTCTGATCTTCTTTCTTCTCTTCTCTTCCCTCCTCTGATTCTTCCCACCTCTGCTTTTTCATCTGTGCATATTGTCGGAAGTTTGACTTCTAAACTTCCTTCGACCATGTAGTTACGTCATGTATTTGACAAAGTTGAGCATGCCGTGGATATTGCCTTATCTCCCCTTTTTGCATCTTTTTGCTTGTTTTTGCGCGCTGAGGATCTCAAGCTTGCCAGGCTAGCCAGACATTTGAGAGATTCTGTGTCTCGGCGGAAATGCCATATCGTTTTCTGGACTTGGGTCAAAATGAAATAGGCCAAAATTTCAGACCAAGGGCCCAGAAAACCACAGTTACTGTGTATGTATATATATATATGTGTGTTTTTTCCAGTATATAGGAAAGCAACTCATTTCGAGAATCCAACTCCAGAATCCGACTCGGACTGACTTTTCCACTTAAGACCGAACATGCATGAACGATGCACAATCACATGATGATGGACCTGAGAGATCAAAATAGTTTAGTAGTTCATGAAATTGGGCAATGGCTACAACGCCGGTGGCTGTTTTCCTTTCGCAGCTTAACCTGGATATGGAAGGTCCCCCATTCCACAGGTTTAGCGCACATCGCTCTAAACCACTTGCAGTTGTACATGTTTACATGTTGCTTTGAGTATTGCACTAGTGAGCAAGTCAAAGTACCCCCAGGAGGAGTTGCCACTGGATATGGCAAGCATCTCTGGTTTAATTAGTTCTTTAGCCATTCCCTTTCTTCGGCCATCTTGAGCCTTTGCAACTGAACAGTCAAGGCCATCCCCTTACTCGACCGTTTCGCGCCCAGGATGTGATTCAAAGCAAAACTCTCAGTGGCAAGGAGCGGAGAAACTTGGCGAGATCATCCAGGAGCCAAGGCCTTGGCAACTCACCAGCCCCTGGATTTGTTTCGGCCAATTTGTGGGGAGTACATGTCAACGCTGATCAGGGTGGGGAGTTTACATCAGCCAATCGGAGTTTCATCGACGCTGAGCACCTGGGAAGCTAATTGTCTAGATCCCTGCGTGTCCACATTTTAGTCGCTGTCTGGTGACTTGTGATTGCATGATTTCTTTTCGGGTGTAGATATGTTCGCTCTATTTCCAAGCAGTGAGGCACATGCATTCGGTTTCGGCTTCAAACCTTCATGATGCAGTCAGCGACTTCACGGTTAAAAAAACTAGGCCATCAGGACGGCCCCTGTAACTTATCTTGTGGAGCTACCTTGACCCTCTATATAAACTTAAAGACGAAGCCAAGATAATGCCAATTCTTTCGGGTGAAAGACATCTATTTGCGCACGTTTGTTGAGTGTTGCTTTTGGCCAATAAAAGTGTTTTTCACTTTTCAATGGTTTATTTTGGCATTTGGCAGTCCCGTCGAGCCAGTCCACCCGCTGCAAATCAGGCTGAATGTTTTTGTTCGGGTCAACCACGCGTCCAACAATAAAGCGGCAAAGACTACAGCTGGGGGTTCAAATCCCGTTTCAGTAGAATAAGTTTTGAGCAACTTTATTAAAGGGAATTCAAAGTGGCAAACAAGAAAAATACTTTAATTCGTGAGATCCCCGCTCTGAAAAAACTATGCTGATATAATACAGTTTCTGACGTATCACCTGGAGTACTATATGGCAAATGATTCTGACATTGCATCTGACCTTTTTTCTGGCATATATTCCGACATATTCCGACATTCTATCTGACATTCTTGATCTGGAGCTCGCAGGGCTCGGGCGCTCGCCATGCATGAGGGCCATGCGTGCCCAGGCTGAGCTGGCACGCTTTCTGCTTTCTGGCAAAAGTATCTGCTCTGACATTCCTTTTGGGCTATTTGTCATCCGTATTCTCTCTGGCAGCCTGTCTGGCATCCAATCTGACATTCTCTCTGTCATCCTGTGTGGCATATTCTGACGGCATCCTGTCTGGCATCTACTCCGACATTTCATTCTGGCAGGTTCCTACGTTTTTCCTGGCATGTTCAGGTCGGTGTGCGCTGAACCTGATCTGGACCATACGGGAAGAAGGAGTCCCACTTTTCATCAACATCTAGAGACCCTTCCCTGGCAGGTGGGTAACAACATGTCTAAGTCTAATTCCCTCGAGTACCACCCCCCGAACAAACATAGACCCTCAGAACAGTACGCTTCCAACCCAATTAGCAGGGTCTATGGTAGCAGCCACCCTGTCAACTGCAAGATTAAATGAATAATTGAGTTTCCATAATTTCCAAAACGAAACGCAGAAGTACAAGAGCATCAACGATTTCAATCAGCAGTATCGCAGACCCTTGAATAAACTTGAGTAAACTCATGTAATTTCATGTACATATATATATATTTACAGACCACACACCCTATGAATCTAAGTAATTACATCCTGAGAAGGTACTTAACCCCCCAAATCATCCTACCGTAAATGCATCCTCAGAAGGTACTTGGACACACACAGAGATTTATAATCAAAGATTTAGTTAGAAAACTTCCGAGTTACGGGCCGTTGTCATGGCCAGATTCTCACCATGGCAACCACATCATCATGTCAACCGCATCATCATGTAATTAGTTGGGAAGTGTGAGAGATCGGGAACGCGTGAATTCAGGCTTGAAAAGATTCCCGGGCGCAAAACCCTGTGTTTTTCCGGGTAAAGTGGCTTCCGCGGTCGCCGATGTAGGGTCTCTGTTTCGGCGGTTGCGGGCCTCGATCTGCAAAAGTTGTCGGCAAAAAGTGCACAGGACTGTAGCGAGAGTTCGATTTCACAGAAAAATTGACAAAAAACTGCCATGTAAGGTGCACTTTTGGAAGATGAGTTCGGCAAAATGTGCAGGAGACTGCAGCGAGAGCTCGATTTTGCATAAAAATCGTGAAAAAACTGACATGTTAGGAGCAGATTTGGATTTGCGAGGTCGAGTTCTCACAGCAAAATAGGCACGAGACTGTAGCGAAAGCTCGATTTCACTTAATTAAACATGTTTAAAAACTGAGGGTTTCAGAGAGGTCTTTGGATTTGTGTGGTTGGGTTCCTGCAGCAAAGGTTTACGAGACTGCAGTGAGAGCTTGATTTCACATTAACATTGTTAAAAACTCACAGCGCCAGAGCATGAGCATATTCATTCATTCCAATTCAACCATTCATTCAAAGTCGTTCACTCACTCACTCACCCACTCTTTCTTTCTTTCCTTTCTTTCTTTCTTTCCTTCTTTCTTTCTTTCCTTCTTTCTTTCTTTCTTTCTTTCTTTCGTTCTTTCTTTCTTTCTTTTTTCTTTCCTGCTTTCTTTCTTGCATGCATGCATGCATGCTTTGCTTCATTCATTGATTCCTTTTTTCATGCATTCATTCATTCATGTTCATTCATGCATCCGCTCATGCATGCATTGCTTTATTCATTCATTCCCTACATTCATTCCTTTCGTTCGTTCGTTCGTGCATTCATTCATTCATTCATTCATTCATTCATTCATTGAGTCAGTCAGTCAGTCATTCAGTCATTCAGTCATTCAGTCATTCATTCATTCAGTCATTCATTCATGCATTCATTCATTTTTTCAATCAATCAATCAATCAATCAACCAATCAATCAATCAATCAATCAACCAATCAATCAATCAATCAAGCAATCACTCCTTCATTTATTCATCTTTGTAATTTCATTTGTTCGTTCATTCACTCACTCATTCATTCATGCGTTCGTTCATTCATTCATTCGTTCATTCAACCATTCGTTCGTTTGCTGATTCACGCATCTTTCCTTCATTTAATCATGCATTGCTCCATTCATTCATTCATGCGTTCGTTCTTTTTTATTTCAATCATTCAATCAGCCATTGAACCATTCATTCGTTTAATTTTGCAATCATGCACTCATTCAGTCATTCAGTCATTCATTCATTCACTCAGTCATTCATTCATTCATTCAGTCAGTCTTTCATTCACTCGTTCATTCTTTCATTCATTCATTCATCCATTCATTCATTCATTCATTCATGCATCCATTCATTCATTCATTCATTCATGCATTCATTGATTCATTCATTCATTCAGTCACTCATACTTTTTTCACTCGTTCATTCATTCACTTGTGCGTTCATTCATTCATTAATTCATCCATTCATTCATTCAATGATTCAGTGATTCATTCAATCATTCATGTTTTATTCTTTCATTCTTTTTTCGTTCGTTCATTCGTTCGTTCATTCATTTGCTCATTCCTTCATTCAGTCCTTCATTCAGTCTTTCATTCTTTCATTCATTCATTCATTCATTCCTTTTTTTCAGAAAGTCATGCCACAGGGGCCCCATTACCACGTTTCTGGAAATACAGCAAAACGTAAGATGAGACGTGTGTGTGTGGATTGTTTTGCACGTCTTGCAATATCTCACACCATGATATGATAGGCCAATGTTACTTAAATGTTGTGTATTTTTCAGAAAGGGACGTTGTGGAGAGCTGGAAAGAGGAATGGACAGATATGGGTCAAGTTTTAGATTAATATATTGCTACCAAAGCTTTCTGTTTATTTTTTTCCTTTTCTTTTTTCCTTTTCCTCCCTGGGGGGGGGGCAGAAAAAAATTGATTCCCAGCCAGACCCCACAAAACGAGCTTTCAATCCGGACTGGCACCACGGTACCGGCCGCACGGACGGCACTACGGTACCGGCCGGACGGGATCTAGCCGGACTTAGCCCAACGGTGTTTACACTACGTAGCATGAGCAATACCACTCAATTTGTCTTTTCTAAAAAAAGCGTCATCAATAAAGAATGCAAATTAACAATTTTGCAGGCTCATTATCCTTAGACAAATACTAACTATAATCCATCTGATCTTGGATGAGATCTTTTTATCTTTTTAGAGTTTTGGATTTTCTTCACTGCATGGCAAGGACATACTAAGTTGAAAAAAGAAAAACACTATGTCTTCGGGCCATGCTGTGCCACTACAAGGGCCAGCACATGATATTCAAAAGTGGCACAGAAAGTAGAACAGTTTTAGATTTACAACCAGATATATATAAGAAATATCTATTATTGTTTTATATTCTCATATGCATATATAGACGAAAGTCGTTTATTCAAAAAATGCTTGTCATGGCCAGGAAGCTCAATATTCATTTGAATGAGTAATCTTGAATGACCATCTACAGTCACCCCAGGGCAACGAGCAGCTAGATCATATAGTTTTCGTGATTTGCGTGGCCAATATACTCTCATTGAGGTCTTTGTGCAGTCCAACTCGACACATGGGTCAACTCAAGCTCGATTTCAAATAGAGCCAACAATAGTGCCACAACGTTTCAAAGCTACAAACACAAGCTGGCAACGTATGACATGGTGCAATGATTACTTCTATTGGTTATTTACATGGTAATTCAAGAGATAGCTTGGATCACCCTTCCTACAGTATCTTAATCTGATAATATCTTTGGAAAAATACGGAAAAATCATTGGGAAGGTGTTAGCATGAGTTTTTGCTTTCATCCCGCTTCACTTTTATGGTAGGTCTGCTCCTTGCCATGGCTATATGCAGGCATACCCTTGAAGATATGTTCTTGATTGCGCTGGTCACAGGCAAACTCCATTTAGGCTAACCAAATTGCTTGATCAGCACATTCACTCACAGATTTTGATTGCAGGATTTTTCCGTGTTGTTTCCATATTCTTTCCATATTTGTTGGAGCCTGATACAACTCACTACCCTGCAAAATTATTGCCAATGAAGAACATGTCATGTGCAATTTCCAAAATATGATGATGAGTTTTGTATATGTATGCTATCTGCTTGTGTGGCTATTGCGGCTTGTATGTGGCACTATTTGTTTGCTTGCATTGTTGGCTTACCAGGGAGACATGTACAAGTTCAGGTAGACCCAGGCTAGAATAGAAATGTATACAAAATTGATTGTCATAATTTCTTACATGAGACTCTAAGTTTCTGGAATGGCCATGCATGTGATGGGTTGAAGGTGATCGGTGCTTCCTTCATGTAAGATTGATGTTGCCATGTTGTTCCCAAGATTGGCTCTAAGTATTCTTATATATTCCATGCCTTGTTGTTCCAAGGTTGAAAAATGAGTTTGCACTGTACATATGTGAGAAGAGTGACTTGCTCCATGCCTTTTCATGATCACTATTAGTTTGTAATGACGCTTGCACTTCATTGCAAGACTTGGTAGAGCCATTGAAATCTGTGTTCAAACATTATTCATTCTTGGGTATCGTAACACAACTGTGTATATATATACATACACACTACATGTTCATATGATGATACACATATTGAATTCGCTACTTGCCATGGGTCTATCTATAATCTGCTTTAGCAAAGAAAGAAGCAGTGTAGAACCAATGGTATGAGCTTTATCTCTACCCCTACTATGCTATTCTACATGAACTTTCCAGAACCAAATTAAATGTACAATAGATAACAATGCAACAGAAACAAAGTAATATCAACAACATAGAAAATAGAACAAGAACAAACATATGAGTATAAATAAGCATAATTTATCACAAAATATTGGAGGGCCCACAGCGTTACACTCTTTTTTTATTCATTTAGTCCTTGTTCCTTTCATTCAATCATTCGTTCGCCCGTTCCTTCGTCCGTTCATTCATTCCCTCACCCATTCTTTTCATTCACTTCATTTATTGCATTCGTTGGTTTTCTTCAAGTCATTCATTTCAATTCATTCCTTCCCAGCTCCCCAACAATTCCTATAAGCAAACTGGTTCCTATAGTCATGTCCCATTTTTGAAACTTCCGCCCTGGCGCGTGCCGGGCACTACCTGGTATGTATATATGTATATATATAGAAAGATTCATTTTTACATATGCATGCTGGTAAAGGCAAATATTCCGTTTAACATGATGAATTGCCGTATGCAGGACACATCTCCAGAGGTTCCCAGAGTTGAACGCAATGATTGCTGGAACCAACCCAGACCCTGAGCGAGTGTGCCCACATTCATGTTTGTCATTTTTAGATTTTCATTTGCATGTGGAACAGCCACTATAACATTTAATTTGTTGTGATGTCTACCGACTTACAAGGTGCCCGCCCCTATCTAAATTGAATTATAAACAAATGTGTGATTCAACCCGGGGGCTGGACGCTTTGCTGCAGCCGCACCCAGGACGTGAGCGTGAGAAGGAATCTCGCAACAGTGTCAGTGGACGTTCTGCTCACCTACGGGCATTCAGGCCGCCGTGAATGGTCATGGCAGGGGAAAAAAGTGGCGTTTGTGAACCTAGGGTCTTCCCGAAAATTGTCATCATTCTAGTGCACAAATCATTCAGTAATCTGTTGAAATTCTGAGTGCCGCATTTTCAGGCAAACCCTTTTGACCCAAGAGCCCATGTAACTCACAATGGCTGGTCACCTTTCTACACATGTTTGCTGGGGTACCTGATTCGGACCCATGGTATCCTATGCTCAGAACATCATAGGAAAAAATACAATGAACCAGGGCTGAACACCTGTTTGGGATGGTGAGGCAATGATCCTGCTACCCAGAAAATAATCCGTGCGGTAGCAGAGGTCTACCAGCATTACCGCAGTTATACCTCTCAGAGGATTTTAGCCTTCGCCTACCAGGACCCACCACGAAAACAGCAATGATGTTGATACAAGAACAAATTTGGATTGATTCCCCCTAAAGTCAATGAATGGTGGTTTTCCTCCTAATAATGGTTCCCTCAAATATATTCAACCTATGAACATTCTTTTGGAGGTGAGAACACGAAATCGGCCACATGAAGGCGCTGTAAAAGTAGTTTTGTGTGGACCCACCCCTCATCAAACTCCGCACGCGTTTCTCGGGCCAGATGGGTGTTAGGGGCGACATGTATTGAAATCAGGATTTCCCATTCACATAAATACGTTTAATGACATTTACATGATCTATTATATTTGATATCAGTATGTATGCTGCATTTAGGATGAGAGTGATGAGAGGCGATCGGAATGACACTGTGGTAGTCAACCTTGAGATAAACAATGGTTCTGGCTCAAGGCAAGCTTCCCTCTGCAGGCAGTTTTCGTGAGGGGGTGATTGCATATCCACCTGAGTGGTATTGTATAAACCAAGTTGAATAAGTGAAGAAATCTTATTTAACTATATCCCAATACACGCGTTGTCTTTTAATTGCTTTGCAACTCATAATCAACCTACACGTCTCTTGTCTAAAGTGGAAATGACAGGTGAGTGGGCAGGTTCTGCAACAAAGCATATAGTACCCAAACCCCCAGTCATCTGACGGATCCGACATGGCAGGCCTGATGTCACCACTGAACCAAGACCAAGAAAATGAGCCTGTCCACAGAAGCCCTCATGCAACGAAAGGAATAGCAACCTCATTCGAACGTCGTGTTGGGAAATGCAAAGTTGTCCAGGTGTGCCAGATATGGCTAGATAGTATGTATGTATTCGGGCTGGTGACCCAATGTGTGGTGCATTGTTGCCATCAATGATCAGACAAATGGAAGAACCACATGAGTTTGTTCATTGATTTTTTGACTTCATGTCGACAAAGTGTGAGAATCAAGGGTTCGCTGGTGCTCTGGCTCAGCCTCGACATCTTGGTTGCGGCTCGTTAACGTCGCTATCTTCAACATGGTACGGTTGTGTTTGTATCCAATCCATACCAAGTCCTGATTTGGATGCAAAATCATGCAATTCCCTTGCAATCTGTTAAGCACCTCCAAATTTGCGAGGATGTGAAGTGCATTGATCTTCAACATGACTTGATCTTCAAGCTGAAGCTGTATGTGGAGAAGATGATACAAACCCATGGACTTAGTGGTACCCAATTTCGAGACAAACCCATACTGTTGGCCATTTTTGAACTGATCCATTCATACGGTTCAGTCAAATTACCAACCTGGCAATATGTATGTGCATATTTATACATACATACTTGTTCTTGTTTATATATTTACGTGATTGGACATCCCAATGTTTTTGACTAGGAATTGTCCATAGTTTTGGCTCTGCAACATCCTATGTGTTGTTGGTGTGTCGGGTTTCCGAACCATTGTTTTGAGGATCAAAACGGTCCAGGATAGTCATCTCAGTTACAAATGCCCGCAGAAGCTTCCAAGAGAATGGCAGATGATCTACACAGTGGGACAGGCAGAAGTGGATTAAAGTGGAGTACAGTAAGTTCTCCCATGTTCATGGCTTCGATTTTGCTTCACATCCTTAGTCGCCGAGATTCATCCCTTAAAGGGAGCGATGTTGGATCGGCACCGGGCTTGGAAGGGTGAGCTGGATCATCGCCGATGCATAGGTATGTGATTTTCCATAGGGCCATATTGTGAATTGTCGCGTATCCCCAGGGACAGTGGTTTATCTTCATTTTATGTGTCAATCTATTAAACATTACCGTTTTGGGGTAAGCCCTACGAAGCCTATTTTGTAGACTATGTTTGATCCTATTTGCATTTAGGGGGGATGAGCATGCAGCTGCGTCAGCTTGGTGAGAAAAGCACAGATGCCAAAGCTTTAGTCCCACCCACTTGTCCACTGGTGTTGCGGAAACTGAAAACCATTGTGCAGGCTAAAGAAGATGAATCCAATGGGTCATCAATCAGATCAAAGCCTCACGGCAGTATGGGTTTCAAAATGATTACGAGCAAGTTTGGAGGTCACAACGCTGCGCAAGATTTGCATTTTTTTCATTTCTTTACAGATTGAAGCTGCATTTCCCGTTGATACCCATAGGTTTTCCTTGCCACGTTCGAAGCTGAGGAAAACACAATTCAAGTCATGAACAAACAGTGGAGATGTAGGAATGCAATCTGAGAAGGGCTGGTCGTCTTCTGGCAGAGAAAAGGTGACTCTTTCGAGCACAATAACCGGATTAGCAAGATTACGATGAGCATGACCTCAACTAATGTATTTAAATCAAAATAGGGTACCCCTAAATTCATTGATTAGTCATTATTTTCCGACTGTCAGCGCTATTCGGGGAGGTAGACCACATTTTCAGGCACACTCATTTGTGGAGATATACCACATTTTGAGGCACACGCATTTGGGTTTAATCTTTTTGCTTCACTGCAACAACTGTGTATCCCTGGTGTTACTGCGTGGCACCTTGACTTTGGCAGAAAATAATGGCTAACATAGCAAACTGTGCCGGATGGCAAGCATTCATTTGATTTGTTCACTTCAAACCATATTATATATATATATATATATTTATGTGTATGTATATATATATATATGTGTGCTTTCTTTTTTGTTTAAATACATATGCTTATGTCTGTACAATATACAGTTATTCAAATGTACTATTTTAATTTACGCATGGAATGTTTCAATGTATGTTTACATATGGAAATATCCTCATATTTACTATATGAGTATATTTGGTTCAAGCTACATACATATATATACGCTACGTTGCATTACATGATTTTAAATTACATTACATTCAATCAAATTACATACATAGAAACATACAATACAATGCAATGCAATGCACTAGAGCACAATACAATACAATTTACATACGTACATACATTACATACCTACATACCTACATAACTACATACCTAGATACCCACATACCTACATACAGACCTTCATACCTACATACCTACATAGCTACATACCTACATACATACATACATCCTTCCATCCATACCTTACGTTGCGTTACGTTACGTTGCGTTGCGTTGCATTTCATTGCATTACGTTATACTTTGCATTTTACATACGTCTTTAAATTTCATTTATATATATATACATATCTTTTATCAATGCAGATGTTCCAAGTGAAGACATTTCCGATGATTGTGAGCAGTTTCCCTTCGTGGCCTAACAGTTCCAGCGTGCACTTTCCAAAAACCTCGCAGCCAGTGCGGCGCGTGAGCTATTGATTACAGGCTTTCACTTTGGCGCGTGCCTTGCAGTTTGAGGCATGAATACATGTTAATTGGTGATTAATTGCAGGGATTGTTATTTTTACTACCTTCAACTCTTCAACTGCCATACCCTGAAAACTGCTGACAAGAGAAAAGTAGTCTTCCAACGTCACTTGGAGGGACAGTCAGTATATATATATATATATGTAAAAGGGGAGTTCAGACCTTCAGGTCCAGGCTGGTAAGGGTGGATGTTTAGGGTCAGTTTTTGCGGGGGCTTAATGGGAATGGATGCTGTGAGCTGGCGTTGATACTTGAAATTTGGACATTTAAGGAAACCTGTTGGGCCAAAACGTTGGAATTGACTCCAATTGCAATGAAGAATTTGTTGCGTAGCAGCAAATTCACCTCGTTTCAGGACAATTTCAAACTATGTTCATGTCCAACGGACAAGTGAGTTCCGCTGACTGATGCTGGCTGCGTATCGGCACATGATGTGGTGGCACCACCGTTCGCAGCTGTCATTATTTTGAGGTGCCAGTCACCCTGCAAGATGATCGCCTGTCGTTGGTTTTCTCCAAAGAAACCCGGAAAGGCTGAAAACGTTCTTCCAAGAATCTGTAATGCGTATGTTTCCTTCTATTTCCAGTGGTTTTCCTATGGTTTTCCTATATTTCATGTTTTCCGCTGCAAAAGAAACGGGGCTTGCTCTCCGTCCAAAAGATCAACGGATGGCGCGATGATGTGCCGACAAGTCAATGGAGCGATGCTTGCATGGCAGCAATCGAGGAGCACGGCTTGAAGCAAAAGGTCCTGGGATCCTGGGGTTACCACTAGTCGTTGCCATTAACATCCCCAACCTTGGATAGGTAGTTTAATCCTCTAGTTTTTCGCTATAAATGCGAAATTATCATAAACAGCAAGAAAATAGTATTTTTTGTGGGCTACCAAAGGTTGACCATGTAAACTTTGACTTGGGGGGTTCTTAGGTCATGGTGGGTCCCCAGTCGTCACCATGGTGGTTTCAATATTAATTCATGGTCATCCATGACTTGCATGATGCAAGGGAGTACCCCATGACTGAGGAAATCACCAACCACTTGAGGGATGTCTTGACCTTGGGATGGCTGATTTTCAATCAAAGTCTGGTCGTGGATGTTAACAGTGTCCATCTGCTGTGCTTTCAATTTCTGAAAAGAAGAACAAGGGTTCTTACTGTAATTATTGGGTGTATTTTCTGGCATTCAAAGGTCATTCATGGGAAGCAAGCAGTTGTAGATTAAAGGTGCTTGCCAAACATGGATCTAATTTCCACGATCGTCCAAGTCGACGTCGGTTTCCCCAAGGTGAACGTTGGGGTCTGCAGTTTGTGTGAGCATCTTTGAATTTGGAAATTGTGGAGTTTTGGATGCCACAGTTTCGGATTGATGATTCTACCATCGTTATCGGGGTTACCTAGTTGTTTGACATGAAAAGTAATTACCCATTATGTTCCTCACAGACGGCAAGGGAGAACCTTTGAAAAATGATGTGTTCTCTGGAATCTAGACCTGAGAATGTGGGATTGCCGATTTGATTTCCCGGAGAGAAAGTAATTTTCAAAACTGGAATCTGGAAACTCATGTTCAGTCTCTAAGTCTTGAAATCCCGGAAAATGGATGGTAAAATTCACGAAGTCTTGCAATCTTTGTTACTCGTCTTCAACACAAACGGCAAGATGTGTCAGTCAAACTGGTGGTTTCACCCATTTTACATGGGAAAATGGGTCGGCCAATACAGAATACATATATATATATATATATATCATATTTGGGGTGGCTGAACATTGATTTATCATAATTTATCAGCTTTTTGGGGGTTCACCAGGGTACTTCTCGGGCTGTGTTCCATTTACTTTTTATCCTTAACCTGATAGTGCCAGGTTCCACTTTGCCAGGTGCTTCGAGTGTCCTTGGGCAAAGACATGCTGCTGGGTAGCCACTGCATTGTGCCCCTGCATGCTTGCGCCATGCTGTGGACATTCAGCAAATATTCCAACTCCAGACAGAGGGAAAAGTTCCTGAGATTCTTATTGGGGGAGAATCTCCCAAGACATGTTTCAAAGTTTCCTTGGGCCACTCTATGGGTTTTGCCGGGCTGCGCAAGCAATAAAATTGGATGGGCCAACATGGGGTTTGTAGCGAAGTGGCCGCCCAATTCCAATGACTGAACCAAATGTCACTAAGAAGACTGGCAGTTGACCTGAGTCAAGCCGTCTTATTGTCAGATTTGTCCACCAAGACCTGAACCCCGTTTTTGATTGTTCCTTCTCCATGGTAATCTCTTCATTAGCCACAGTCATAATCATAATGTATATTGACATATTAATACTTGCATATATATATATTTTTTACTTATTTATTTATTTTTATATTTATACAGATACGAACATATTCATATTGTTGATTCATATGTATATATATATATATATAAGAAAAATGATACAATACAATGTATATAGTTTGATATACTTTAAAAAGTATAAAACAG